CCGCAGGTGTGATGTTCGGATGTACCGATCCTGTGCAGGTGTTGTTACACGTGGTCTGCCACTGCGAGGACGATCAGCTGTCCGTCCTGTCTCCCTGTAGCGCTGTCTTAGGCGTCTCACAGTACGGACATTGCAATTCATTGCGCTGGCCACATCTGCAGTCCTCATGCTTCCTTGCAGCATGCCTAAGGCACATTCACGCATATGAGCAGGGACCCTGGGCATCTTTCTTTTGGTGTTTTTCCAGAGTCAGTAGAAAGGCCTCTTTAGTGTCCTAAGTTTTCATAACAAATTGCCTAACGTCTGTAAGCTGTTAGTGTCTTAACGACCGTTCCACAGGTGCATGTTCATTAATTGTTTATGGTTCATTGAACAAGCATGGGAAACAGTGTTTAAACCCTTTACAATGAAGATCTGTGAAGTTATTTTGATTTTTACGAATTATCTTTGAAAGACAGGGTCCTGAAAAAGGGGACGTTTCTTTTTTTGCTGAGTTTACATATCCAAGCACATTGTTAACAAACCTTGTTTTTAAAAAGTCAAACTCCAATGAACATGAGTCATTGTTATTGTCAAACAGCCATCTGATTGTCCTGCTGATTTGATGAACTTTGCTTTTGTTGGGTGTTCATTCTCGGCTGTGTTCTGGCCCCCACAGAGACGCTGTCAACACAACCGACGACTGGAGACAGACCATCATACACATGGTAGGCTTGTCATATTGGACATATAATAAATCACCAACACCCGTAGTCTGATGGGTGACTATTAGCCTAACACACAATTATATATTATCACTTGTGAATGATGCCCAGCATAAGGCAAGAAACAATGCTTTTTTTGGTGACTTTTTTATGTATCCTAGCCCATAGGCCTTTTATGTTTTTTGATAATGTTTATCACAACTAAAGTGGTCAAATAATTCTTAAATTAAGCACATTAATCACCTTTACAAGGGGTGTAGAGCCTAACTGGCATGCATAAGCAGCTCGTGAGTTTCAAGTTTGGGAAATATCATTTTCCCAATAAAAATGCACCTTTATAATAAAAGCATTACATGCATAATCGCATTTGCGGTCACGTTTGATAATGGTGTCTTCCCGCTAATGGAGCATTCGCGCTTATAGCCTACTGCCATGTGTGAATTGCTGCGCTTATAATTTGAAGAAATAGCCTAATAGTTTATCAACATTTAAAGCTAAACGTTCTGATCTTTTGCTTCAGCCACATTGCGTAAAGGTTTTTTGATGCCAGTGGTTGTATTAATTTGGGATCTATCGCATCCCACAACTGTCCCAGACTATGTTTGGAATATTTATTCATTGCACAAAATAGAATAGGTCGACTTTTGTACTATGGGGAATAGTAGATTGACATAGGCTAGTGCTTTTGCTGTTCGTTAGGCCTACTCATCTTGTTGGCTGACGAAAATAAAATGTGGACAGTTCTTCCAATGTCTTCAATTATGCACCTCGGAATTGGATAAGGATGTGCGCAGTTGCGTCCCGGATGTGTCTTCACTTGTAGCCTGTAAGAAAGACCTGATCACGTGATGGAGAGCCATGTGAGTGAGAGGTGCTTCGGAGCGCACAGCACTCTGGGAGAAGGGCACAATGGAACACTCCGGGCCAAGGGCACAATGGCCATTGGCCGCAAAAGGCATGGATTTTTTTTAGGGTGCATTACGGCCACACGAAGGGGATGCCACCGTGAAATTTGAGGTATTATCAAGTGCTTGTCAAATTGTGAATGCGAGACTGATAGTGTGTACAGCCTGCGCAATAAACAAAGCAGAGCTCATGCCTTTCAAGCTACTTTTTTCAAATCATCATTAGAGTCAATGTAATAAAAATCCAAACATATAGCCCAACATTTGTAGAATAACTAAAGTTACATTAATAACTCTAAATTAAGCATATAGGATTACCTATTTCTTTGTTAACCGCTAAACACAGAATAGCCGCATGTGTCCACTCCCTTAAATCATTTGGAGAAAATATCCTTTCTATTATTCAGCTTTGTTCAATTGTATTTTTCATACTATACAGTAATGCCACGGAATTCTAAGCAAATCTTGTCTGCTAAATGAACTAGTGTAGCCCACAACATTTTGGCATAGCCAGATCAGGACCTAACATAAGGACAACTCAGAATATGCTATTCTGTTCTTCTGAAATAGACTACATTTTCTTCAAATCATGCTTCTTTAGACCTAGTCTAAAATAAATAATGGATTTATTGTGAAGGTGTAGGCTATATTACATGGATTTGTTAGACTTTTTAAAATGTGATGTTCCAAAGGTCTGCATCAGTGGCTTGTAGGCTGTGTGTGGAAGCCAGGAGATGCTAAATGTGTTTGTTAATTGGCGTAAATTACAGTGAGAACGACAGTTATTTGCTTGACAATCACCGGCTGACAAAGTTTTGTAGCTACGCTACAATGTGAATGAGTGGTGCTCAGAGCGGCCTGCCTGCCCTAGTTCTGCTGTACTAGAGGTACAGTGAGGGGAAAAAAGTATTTGAACACCTGCTGATTTTGTACGTTTGCCCACTGACAAAGACATGATCAGTCTATAATTTTAATGGTAGGTTTATTTGAACAGTGAGAGACAGAATAACAACAAAAAAAGGAAGGAGGTTCTCACCCAAGATTTGACGGTACATGGCCCCGTCCATTGTCCCTTTGATGCGGTGAAGTTGTCCTGTCCCCTTAGCAGAAAAACACCCCCAAAGCATAATGTTTCCACCTCCATGTTTGACGGTGGGGATGGTGTTCTTGGGGTCATAGGCAGCATTCCTCCTCCTCCAAACACGGCGAGTTGAGTTGATGCCAAAGAGCTCGATTTTGGTCTCATCTAACCACAGCACTTTCACCCAGTTCTCCTCTGAATCATTCAGATGTTCATTGGCAAACTTCAGACAGCCCTGTATATGTGCTTTCTTGAGCAGGGAAACCTTGCGGGCGCTACAGGATTTCAGTCCTTCACAGCGTAGTGTGTTACAAATTGTTTTCTTGGTGACTATGGTCCCAGCTGCCTTGAGATCATTGACAAGATCCTCCCATGTAGTTCTGGGCTGATTCCTCACCGTTCTCATGATCATTGCAACTCCAAGAGGTGAGATCTTGCATGGAGCCCCAGGCCGAGGGAGATTGACAGATCTTTTGTGTTTCTTCCATTTGCGAATATCGCACCAACTGTTGTCACCTTCTCACAAAGCTGCTTGGCGATGGTCTTGTAGCCCATTCCAGCCTTCTGTAGGTCTACAATCTTGTCCCTGACATCCTTGGAGAGCTCTTTGGCCTTGGCCATGGTGGGGAGTTTGGAATCTGATTGATTGCTTCTGTGGACAGGTGTCTTTTATACAGGTAACAAGCTGAGATTAGGAGCACTCCCTTTAAGAGTGTGCTCCTAATCGCAGCTCGTTACCTGTATAAAAGACACCGGGGAGCCAGAAATCTTTCTGATTGAGAGGGGGTCAAATACTTATTTCCCCCATTAAAATGCAAATCAATTTATAACATTTTTGACATGTTTTTCATTTTTTTTTGTTATTCTGTCTCTCACTGTTCAAATAAACCTACCATTAAAATTATAGACTGATCATGTCTTTGTCAGTGGGCAAACGTACAAAATCGGCAGGGGATCAAATACTTTTTTCCCTCACTGTACATACCTTCTCACATCCCAGTTACTGCCTGCTTTTTTCCTAGAACCTGGCTCCCGGTAATAAACAATTGATAGATTTTCTGAAGAGTGGCAACATTAGTGCATTATCTGTCTGTCTGGTTCACTCTGCACTCTGTGATACGCTGTCTGGAAGGAGTCCTGGAAACAGTTGACTGCACTGTTGGCCGGCACTTTCTCTCTTTAAGAAATCTATCTCTATCTCTCTTCTATCTATTTATATCTATATCTATATCTATATCTATATCTATATCTATATATATATATATATATATATATATATATATATATATATATATATATAGAATGTGCTTCCAGAGAAACGTTTGAGAATACAGACATCTTGACAGCACTGCCTGTAGCCTATATACACAACACTGTATTTCACAGCTATTTTAAATACACAATTCCCTATATGCTTTGATGTGACGGAAAGTCTCTCCTTGGCTGTTTTCTAATTGATCCTCCAGTATATCATCATCATGACAGACTATCAATAATGTAGTTATTGATGCGGTATATGTTACATACAGTACACCATGATTATTTAACAATACGTATTGTATAACAGTAAAAGGCGGATGATGCACGTCAGGGTGTGTTTTATCGGTGAATAAGCACTTGCCCCAGGGGTGGACTAAAGCACTGCAGGGGTGGAGGGGGACCGGAGGAGGCGGTAGTGTGGGGGGATCTTCCCACTTTATTATTGACCTTCTGAGGTATGCTCTTGCCCTCCCCGAAAATGACTGCTCATGTCTTCTCATCCATTGCTTTATTCTGGATATTGGAAAGCAACAGTTTGGAATGACGCATGTAGGGTCCACATTTTCTAGTATGACATCATTGTTTTGAATGGAGGAGATATGGAAATGAATGCAGCCCTGCAGTGACATTGTGTGCTGTGAGGGGACATTCTGTGGTGTCAGGACCAGTCATGATGACGTGATGGAAAGGATAGACCGCATAGAGGATGAGAAGAAGAAGGATAGACAGAATATAGGATGAATACATTCTGAGCTATGATGTTGCTGCAGTGAATCACCAGTCAGTGGAAGAAAGGGGTAGAGGAGACGCCGATGAGTGAAATCGTGTGTGTATTTGCAATATGAAGGGGGGAGGTGTGTCTGTGAGGGGAGGGGAAAGGGAGGGGTATTGTCCTGCCTCTGTGCCCTCCCACCCTCCCTGCTACCTCAGGCTGACGATCTCCTCTGACAGCCTCACGGTGGAACGTGGTGGAAGGACCCGAAACAAGCTGCAGTGTTGTTGCCGTTTACCTCTTCTTTCCTGTCCTCTCCCTCTTATTTTCTGTCAGAGGAGAGGGTTAGGCTAGCCCCATTCCTCTATGGTGGTGGCTCTGGCTCTGGCTCTTTGTCAGTTCAGTGCAGGGTAGAGGATAAGGGGGGTGGCTACGTGGCTGAGTGGTGTGTATATATCATGTGCACAATAAAGCAGGCGAGCACAGTTCAGCCATGAAAGCCCAGCGGGAGAGGCTGAGGATTCCCGGACTGACATTGGAGTGAGTATTTTCCCTCTCTTTTTCTTGTGGTGGTGACAGCACCACTGCTCCACACTGCAGCAGACCGCTTCATTGGTCTCTGCCGCTGCTGCTGCACCTTTTGTTGTTGTTATTTCTCTGTAGCTACAACAAGCGTTGTGGAGCGTTTATCATTATGCAGCATTGCCACATACAGCAGCAGCACTGTTGCAGCGTACACAGCAGGATGTGGAATGTCAAATCCTCTGCATTGATTTATAGCGACAGGGACTGTGTGTGTGTCTGTCGAGCAGAGGACTGCCACACAACCTCTGTTTGGTTGTGACGACACACTGACACACACACAAACACACATAGACGTACACTCTCACACATACTGAAACGCACCACTAAATCATTGTGACAGTGTGACTATTAAATGGCAGGCATTTGTGAGGCATGATCAATATGTTGATTGGCAGTAGAGCGGTCTTATACCCAAGGCCTTGTTGGCTAACGGATCCTGCCTGCTACCAGTCACAGTAATCTGCACGGCCAGAGACTCAAACAACACAGGCTCTGTTATGGCCCTTTCATTTTCCTATTGCACATCATACAGATTAGTTCTTAGTGTAATGACCCGTGAAGGCAGTCGATTGGGTTCTCTCGGGTCACCAAGGCACATGTTTGTTTGCGTCCTCCGAGGCTTAAGCTAGCGCAATTGCAGGTATTGCTCTGTAGGCACATACGTTGCCTACTCATTTAATTTAGATCCAGTTCAGTGTCATTACTGACAGGAAAGTCTATGGTTTGATTTTGAATTCATCAGCTCTATGGAACAATACCAGTGTTTAATCACAGACTACTGATACTGTTGCGATACTGTACTATTATTCGCTAATCATTTTAGATTCTGTCTACTAAGTGCCATGATAGCAGGCAAAAGTCTGACTTTTTTATTTATTTGGATTACTCAAAGTAAACATGCAATGGTTTGGAGGGCTAAAAGATATCTATCACATGTAAAGTGAAGACCTTTTTAAGAAGTGAGATTTCTTTCCATCAGTGAAGTTACTGTAAAGGGGTAGAAGGCCAAGGTTACATGATTGTCTTCTCATAGCCTTTAGTAATCCTTCAGATTTCAAGTAGGAGTTGGTTTCATTGTTTGCCTGTTTCAGGTTTCACTCCACCTCTGTGTGTGGATAGTTTAGACCGTTTTTATTATAATCGCTTAAACCAATCAAGCCTCAAGGACCAAACAAAGTCTCTAATCCTCAAAGAAGCTAAACCTGTGTTGTGTGAATAGACAAGTACCTTAGTAACCTATTTCCAAAACACCATTTTGTTTCATTTCAAAGGGGACCATTTGTTATGCTGTGATGCTGTGGTTAATGTATGTCAGCTAGCTAGCAGAACAGGGTATGTGTCTGCATACATCAGCCAAAATCACTTCACAGGGCTTCTAAGTGAGAGTAATCATTGTCCTGTGCAAATTTAGTGTGCTAAAGAAATCACTATTTACAAAACTTACATTTAACTTCCAGCCTCACTCCCCGAAGCTTGAGCCCGACACCCACAAGTCCTTGCAGCCCGCTCAGCCCGCTGCACGCGTTTCATTTTTGGAGGTAAGCGTCACAAGCTCTACTTCTTCGACCATCAAGGCCATTTTGTTTTTGGTGGTTGAGGAACAAATAATGCTGGATTGTGAAAGGTTGAGTCGAAATTGCATGCAATTATCTGTTTGTTCTGACAGAAGTGTGTTTTTGGATTTCTCTCTGAAATATTCTGCCTTTGGAGCAGCATTGATGGAAGAGGAGGACACAGTGCTTACAGTGCCTTTGGAAAGTATTCAGACCCCTTGACTTATTCTAAAATGGAATAAATAAATAAATAATCCTCAGCAATCTACACACTACCCCATAATGACGACAGCGCGTGATGTTTGCACATTTATTACAAATAAAAAAAACAGATACCTTATTTACATAAGTATTTAGACCCTTTGCTATGAGACTCGAAATTGAGCTCAGGTGCATCCGGTTTCCATTGATCATCCTTGAGATGTTTCTACAACTTGATTGGAGTCCACCTGTGGTAAATTCAATAATTGGACATGATTTGGAAAGGCACACCTGTCTATATAAGGTCCCACAGTTGACAGTGCATGTCAGAGCTAAATCCAAGCCATGAGGTTGAAGGACTTGTCCGTAGATCTCCGAGACAGGATTGTGTCGATGCACAGATTTTGTTTAGATATGTAGCTAGCTAGCTAAACAATTAACCATAATCCCAACTCTAATGCCGCGTTCAACACAACTGGGAACTCGGAAAAAAACAAGCTTCGAACAGTCATTCAACTCGGGAAATCTGGCATCTTTCTAGAGCTTCGACTTTCCGACCTGAAGATCCCTGACGTCATGATTTTTCCTCGTATTTTTCAGAGTTACCAGTTGTTTTGAACGAGTGTGTGGGGTGTGTACTATTTCGGAAATGCACTTCATGTTCGAGCCATGGACCATCCATACTTCAGTAAATCAAATACAATCACCGACTGTTTGCTCATTGCTCTTGCTCTAAGATGGCAACTCGGCGCAGATGTGCATGTGCCAATTGAATCTCAACAGGGAAACAGTCTGTGGTTGTATTTGATTTAATGTTTATTGAAAAAGTGGATTTCAGCAAACAAAGAAAGGCATGCAACTAAAAGGACAAACATAGATACAAGGAAAGCGTTTTACAATTAAACTTTTTGGGACATAGGAATCTGGAGTGGAATTTAGTCAACTATTGATTAGGCTACTGTGTGCCTCCACTGGCAAAATGTATGCCATAACTAATTGCGTTACCGCTAAGACCAGCTTTTGGAAAATAGCAGAGCGCTGGCTTTTACAAGTCGATATTGCAGAAGAGCGTGAGTTTGATACTAGCGCTGTCGTAACGCCAGCCGAAAATAGAGCCTCATGTATTTAACGTAAGCTATCACTAGTTGGCTGTACCTGAGCCAAAACGTCGGTAATTCTCGGCCTATAGCTTGGCGTCAATCTTCTTTTTAAATGGTAAACCAACATGTTTTCGTGATACATATAGAATCACAATACATGTCGTACCGGCACCCAAGTATAGTGATATAATGATATTGTAAGGTCCCTGGCAAATCCCAGCCTTAGTCAATAGTTACCATCTAAGTATATTCTGCTATCTGGTTAGTGAGCATGTGGTTCTTGCTACTGTGGCTGATGCATTTAAGACTTCAAAGGGAGTCTGTATCAACTGGAGAAGTGACGGAGGAGGAGGGGGACATGGCTGTCTCCCTGAGTGTTCCCCTTTTCTCTCTCTCTTCTCTCTTCTCTCTCCCCAAGTTCTTATTTTCTCTCCTCTCCGCGTTTTGCACTAATGATGTCGGAGATAGCAGGTCACTCTGTCCTCTTCACTGTCTCTTGATGTGTCGCCTGGCGAGCTGCCCTGAATCAGCATTTTGGTCCTGGAGTAGGTTCCTCTGGTTTTGCATATTCAACTGGGTCATTGAGCCCGATTCCTCCTTTTGTTGTATTAAACATTCTGGTTCACCATGTTTTGCTAGGTAGTTAACGTTAGCTAGCGCTAGTTCTCCTCCTATAGCTTGGCCTCAATCTTCTTTTTAAATGGTAAGCCAGCATGTTTTCAGCACTTTTATTTCCATGACTGAGCAAAACTTGTTTTTATTATGTCTCTCTCTTGTCCCTCTGCAGCATATCTAGTGAGCAATATGTTTGGAACATTGAATTGCAATAACAATGTAGTATCGAATCATAATACGTATAGAATCGTGATAAATATAGACTCAAAATACATATCGTATCAGCACCTAAGTATCGTGATAATATCGTATTGTGATGTCCCTGGCAATTCCCAGCACTAGTCAATAGCAGAATATACTTAGATAGTTCCTATCTGGTCAGTGAGCCTGTGCTTCTTGCTACTGTGACTGATTCATGTCAAGACTTCAAAGGGACTCTGTATCATCTGGAGAAGTGACAGAGGAAGAGGGGGACATGGCTGTCTCCCTGAGTGTTCCCCTTCAATTTTCGCTCTTCTCTCTTTCCCCAAGTCCTTATTTTCTCTCCTCTCTGCGCACTAATGTTGTCAGAGATAGCAGGTCACACGGTCCTCTTCACTATATCTTGATGTCACCTGCCGAGCTGCACTGAATCAGCCTTTTGTTCCTGGAGTAGGTTCCTCTGGTCATTGAGCCCGATCCCTCCTTTTGTTGTAGTAACCATTCTGGTTAATTAATATTTGACATAATCCCTCGTCTTCTCCCCTCCTACACCAAGTTATTTGTTTGTGATGGGAAGGACAAAGGGGAAAGGAGTTCATCCTTTCTGAGAAACATGCTGTTTTACTTGTGTGATTGATATGCTACAGGGGCCTCATTTATAAACGTTACGTACGTACAAAATATACCCCAAAACATGCCTGCTCCAGTTTTCCCGCAAAAGTAGGCATTTATAAAAATTGAACTTAGCGTGAGAATGCAATATTCAGACCATGCGTATGCACATTTTCTAGTGGTTGAAGTATTGTATTGCAACCAGGCAAGTTGGTATTTTGTGCAAATGGGGGATATGATGACACGCTTATTCATAAAAAAAAGAACATAGCCTAATAACAAGATTCAGCCATTTGACGTTAGTAAGAAGAGCGAAAATCTGTGTATTGTTTTTTTGAATCCAACAAATGTAGACATGAGAATCCATTTCCTATTTTATTTTCATAACCATTGCAGAATAAATTCCGGTACCCTTCCCCAGATCTGTGCCTCGACACAATCCTGTCTCAGAGCTCTACGGACAATTCCTTCGACCTCATGGCTTGGTATTTTCTCTGAGATGCATTGTCAACTGTGGGACCTTTATATTGACAGGTGTGTGCCTTTCTAAATCATGCCCAATCAATTGAATTTACCACAGGTGGACTCCAAGTTGTAGAAACATCTCAAGGATGATCAATGGAAAAAGGATGCACCAGAGCTCAATTTTGAGTCTCATAGCAAAGGGTCTAAATACTTATTTAAATATGGTATGTTTTTTATTTTTAATAAATGTTCAAACATTATGCGCTTTGTCATTATGGGCTTTGTCATAAGTTATTTCTGTTATTTTTAATAAATTAGCAAACATTTAAAACAGTTTTCGCTTTGTCATTGTGGGGTATTATGTGTAGATTGAGGACATTTAAAAATATATATATAAAATCAATTTTAGAATAAGGCTGTAACGTAACAAAATGTGGAAAAGTCAAGGGGTCTGATTACTTTCCGAATGCACTGTATGCAACTAAAATATACACAAAAATATAGGTGCAGTGAAATTTGTTGTTTTACAGGGTCAGACAGAGTAGTACGGCACCCTTGGAACTAATTAAGGTTAAGTGCCTTGCTCAAGGGCACATTAGCAGATTTTTCACCTTGTCGGCTCGGATATTCGAATCAGCAAACTTTCGGTTACTGGCCCAAGGATGCCTGCCATCACTACTGTAAGTACTGTTATAAAATGTGTAGCCTAGGCAATGTTTCAGAATTTGCAGGCAGTCCAGCGTATTACATTTTGGGGAAAAGTCAATGCAGACATTGTTGAATTTAAACGTTCTGCTGACGAGTCCACAACGATTTGCCATTGTTTTTTTATTTTGTTAAACTTTTCCAAAAATAGCATAAGTTACTGCAAAATAATAAAATATTCTGCCAACACCAAAAACATTTGATCAAATTTGCCATTGCGCTTTCTTTTAGAAACTGCCGTTGCCTAATTCCAATAGTTCCAAATTATACAGTAAATTAAGGGCGTTATTGTCACCACAAAAGGTGAATAGAGCGTGTTTTTCAGGCGGAGTTATAATCCTCGTTCTTGTGCGCACAGTTTTACTACGGGTCTGATTTATAAAGGGAAACATGCGTATATATGGTGTACGCCAAGTTTAGGAATCTCAATTTTTAGCAATGATGCATGTAGATATTTAGTGTGAAATTTTCGCGACTTTTATAAATGAGGCCCTAGATTGTAATTAGTCAAGTTCAAGAGTATCCATGCTAAAATGAGGAAAGGATTCTTATTTAGGATAAATAGATCGATCGATCGATAGATTTATTCAACTGTGATGACAAAGTACGTGTCCATCAGTTTCATGTGACTGTTGTAATGTAAATGCTTTGTTATGTTTGGAGTGGACTAATGCCATTAGTTATACCATTATATAGTGTTGGTCATGAATATTCTTTATAGAATATGCTATACTTCCTAAAAAGCCATTGGCAGTGCATGTGTGTACGCCAGACATGCTTTCAATTGGGAATATACAGATGGTATGAAAGACAAAGTCCTTGACAGCCAAGTGTTCATCAATGAGTAGCACAACACCCCCTCACATCCGATGACCACCTCTTGTGCTGCTAGCTATTCTTAAATGTCTATTGAGAGGAACTTACATTTACATTTTAGTCATTTAGCAGACACTCTTATCCAGAGCGACTTACAGGAGCAATTAGGGTTAAGTGCCTTGCTTAAGGGCACATCGACAGATTTTCTTTGTCACCTAGTCGGCTCAGGGATTAGAACCAGCGACCTTTCGGTTACTGGCACAACGCTCTTACGTTCAAGTGAATCACTTTCACAAAGATTTCAGCATTTGCGCCATACAGTATTAATATTGTAATGTTCCTAATTGAAACTAGAAAACCTCTTAATTGAGAATAAATAGGAAAGTGCTGATCACCAAAATCATTACATCATTGATGCTACTATTTTATTCTATCTGCGTTTTGCTTTTCCTATCTACAATTTTGGCATGTTTGTTTATTTGAAATTTGACTCCGTAGTTGACCTTTACTTGAATGTGTATTTTAAGTTTGCCCTGTGTTGTCTCCTGGTTACTGTTGTTAGTGTCACACTGAGTAACCAACGGGAAGGTCTACACTGACTAGTATGGTGAACATCTCAGACATGAGCATGTCTGTCAGAGCTAGTTTAGCGCTAGCTGCTACTGCTAGCTAGTGTTTTCCAGTTTAAATAATAAATAAATATGCCATTTAGCAGACGCTTTTATCCAAAGCGACTTACAGTCATGCGTGCAAGTTTACTCTGACAGCAGGAAACTGCCACTTTGTACATTTATTTTAGAGTATTGTCTTGTTTAGATTTTTTCTACTGGAGACAACACATTTATTTTATTTTATTTGGTTGTCAGGTCATGTCTACCTGGTAAGTAGACATGACAGGTCGCTTAACCCAGAAATAAAATCTTGCGTATTTGGTCAGATGCTTGATCTGTCCTCGAGAGATTACCCGTTAAGTAACAAAAGACAAATCACAGTCGCTACATTAGCTTGCAAATGCTAACCAGTCAGTAAGCAAAGGATATAATGACTCACTAGGCTAACCAGCAAGGGCAGGCTGGGTATCCATCAGCTAATCCATTTTAAGTACAAAGCCTTTGAAGTCAAGTGTCTGGTGTCAGTCATCCCCCTATGTGTAATATTAGTCATCAGGACAATGTTTCACAGTGATTCCAGAGAACATAGTGAACTTTAATCAGGATTAATGAATTAGGAGAGATTAGTCTATTTGGCTAATTGCTGTGCTGCACAGAATGTATAATCTTTCCCCAAAATATTTGCAGCTCACCTCTGTAAGTCAAGGGCAAGAGAATTAGCACATCAGGCCATGAGTAACTTCAAAAAGAATGGCACCGATTGGCCTATAGGTGGCGCTGTTATAAGCTGTCTCACTTAAAGAGACGTGAAACTTTGTATGTAGTTGTCTTTCCTAATGCTGAACACATTTGCCTCAAGGACCCATAAGGTCCGTCAGGATAGATTATCCTCCATCTTGGAAATGTGGAAATTCAGTATTTAGGCCCATGGTACATCTCTTAACTTAGTTTGAGAGAAGCTAAGGGATTGGTTAAGAGATGGCTGAGTTAATGATAAATCAGGAAATGCAATTTTATTTGTCCACTTAAATCCTTTGTAAATCCTCTCCACAAAGGCCTGTCAAGTTTAAGCGTTTTTAGGGTCATCAAAGGCATTACCATGTTACGTTTGGCATTAATATTTAAAAATTCACCTTTTTGACTAATGCTAATGCTTAAAATAAATATTTAAAAAGTCTGATTTTTAAATATTTAAAAAAAGATTAAAAAAAAAGTCTGATTTACTCCAAATTTGGTCTTTGGACTTCACAATCACAATAGTCCAGAAGAGTTTGAGAAAAGAACGTTGATGCGTTCAAAGATTGCCACACTATACTAGTAGTAACACATTCGCTAATATGCTAAAATATGCTTAAAATGATTATTCTCATGACCCAAAGGACCAAATGACACCAAAGTTGGAATATAGGCACATGGTACATTTCTTAACTTAGTTTGAGAAAAGCTAAGGGATTGATCAAAGATGGCTGAGTTATTGACAAATAAAAAATCTGATTTTATGTGTACATTTAAACCACTGTAAATCCACTCCACAGGGGCCTATTAACTTGAAACTTAACATCGCTCTCGTAGACATCCCTAAGATGAACCACACTGAATGATGAACCACACTGAATTTGGTATTAGTTCAAAAGACAACAAGCTATTAACAACCCATTCTTTGCATATGTAACGCTAATGTTGAAAATCATCTGCAACCATCTTCTCATGACCATACGTCAGATTCATTTCAGATTTTGTATTTAGACTCATTACATCAGTCTTTAATAAACATGCTCATGCTTTCACTGATTGAACATAAAGGAAGATAGATCCTACATGATAGTGCTTTATTTGTTATCCAACTGATCTTGTCCTTTCTGTTATCCTGTGAACCCCGTTCATTGCTGCTCGTAACTATATTCAAGTGTATAATTTAACATGGATTGCAGGTTTTATTGAGTCGAATATTGACGTTTTGTAATATACATTGTAGTTTGAGGTCAACACTATGCAGAATTCCCATATATTTAGAATTGTGTTTATACAATTATAATATTAATATGGTGTATATTAGATTGTATAACCAGCAGTTACAAATGCTACCAGCAGACACCAGTCAGCATATCTGTCGAAATCCATGACAGGCCGCAGAAATATAAATGTTTTAACCAATAAAAATCAATAAACCACCAGTTTTAAAGTTCACCTCTATTTATTGACAAATCCTTTGAATGCGCTTCCAATAAAGTTTAACTTCAAATCTATCTTCGGACTAGTCTGCACATCTCCATCTAATAACTGAACCATTGTACCGGTAACAGTGGTTGTGCCTTTGAAATCACCCTCTCTTATCTGGAGCCCAGAAGCAGAGCAACGCCATAATTAGAGTAGGGCTGGACCTGTCACATCCCTCTACTGGGACACAGAGCACTGTGGGGCTGGCTTAGAGGCCTGCATTGCTACCTGACGTCAGTATCATTGCTTCACAGTTTAGGAACGTGTTCTATCACAGGTCCTGACGAGGAACCCTAGGTTTTTACAGAACACGTTATCATCAAGGGACGCTGAGTTTTTACAGACAATGTGACCTTGTTTTTACAGACCATGTGACATTTTCTTGGCCAGGTCATATGATAAGGAAAACCTGATTGTATGATAGAAAGATAGCAAGTCTCCGTGCAGTGGAGACACAATACTATCTACAGCTAGATATGGCCAGTAGTTCTTCCTGGTCAGGTATGAAAATGTATGCACTCACTAACTGTAAGTCGCTCTGGATAAGAGCGTCTGCTAAATGACTAAAATGTAAATGTAAAATATATGGTTGGACTTTGGCCACTTTTTTGCAGTACTGCATCAGTAAGTAATCAATGCCTGTGTTCCGTGATTGGATCCCATTCTTTGTCCCTGACTGGGTGTCAATGAGTGTCAGTGTTTCCCCTCAGGGAGAGGTGTGTATCTCACCAGGCTCCTCAGGTGGAGGACACACAGTGTAACAGGAACCTGACTGAGATCACTGTTGACTCCACGCCATGCCATGCTATCTGCTGTGGATCGTGTGGCTGCATGCCTCTTACCCAACTGCATGCCCAGCCTCCCTTTTAACACACACATGCAGGATGATCTCAGCCAAATTCAATAGCCAACTGTCAAGACTGTATGTGTACTTAAGACCGGCCAGCCCACGGGACATTTTGGAGGGGAGACAGATTGTGAAAGCTGTGAATGCACTGCAATGTTTGCTGATGATGCAGCGCCGCACTGACTCACAACCCCTCCCCCTGCCTGGGACGCAGAGTGGTAGATGCCGCCTGTTACATGATATGGAGCATGTTGAGCTGGGAGAGAGAGGGAGCAGGTTGAGTGAGTGTATGGGATACAGATGGACACAGACAAGAAAAGCAAATGTCTGCTGTTATAAGGTGTCCCTGACGTAGCGGCTTATAACTACCTGATGTCAAACAAAGTGTTGTCAATCCCTGGAGTACTTTTAATTTTTTGGTTTTGGGGCAGCAGTTAAAGGACGCTGCAGTGTCTGCTCTGCCAGTGTGTGTGTGTGTATGCCGCAGCTGGCTGCAGATGTGCCCGTGCAGCAGAGTAAGTTTGGAGCCTTGGAGGAAGAGGGGGGCTGTTCGAGTAGGGGCGCTTGTCGCCGGGACTATTGTAGGGGACGGGTCGCTCCCCACCCCCATGTCACTGACACCCGGTGCGTCTCTTCACCGGGTCTTCTGAGTCCCCACATTCCGCTTCCCGAAGGAGGCTGGCATGACTTTGGCACAATGTCGGACTCCAGTCTGTGGACGGTGCTCTCCAACTTCACCATGCCACACTTTCTCAGCGGGGCCAGGCTCAGAAGATCAAAAAGGTAACCTTGATGACAAACAGTGTGTTTTGTTCAGTGAGTGTAGGTTTGGTTCTTCTTTCAAAACACCTGCAGCCAGAGTGTTTTGAAGAATTCAGAGTTTGGTAGAAGAGCAAGCCTATTCCTTCTTCTACCTTTTGAATTGGACAGACCAGTGAGTGACTAGTAGTGAATGTGTTGTTGCCTTGTTGGGGTCATCTAAGATGTTTTAGGATGATATTAACCCAGCACAGTAAATTGGGTGTTGCTGCTTCCCTATTGTGTGTGATTGAGCCTTGTGGCGCTGTAACGCCGGGTGAATGTTTGATTGCGATCAAGGCAGTATCTTGTGGGCCATGCACTCTATAAAGGATGTTTACCAACACAGTATGATTACCACTTTTCCTTAAATTGGTATAAGGGAGTGTCGACTTTTAGGAATATATTATCTGAGATTATCACAGATTCCTATGAATCTGTGTCTCATATCTGATACGTCATATCTGGTACGTCATATCTGGTACCTCATTAGAACATAAGCCACAATATAATTGGGTTTTCAGACACATCCCATGAATACTGTAGGTCTGTCTTAAAGATTGTCATTTAAGTTTCATACAATTACCTTTCATGGTACTGTGACAGTATATCACTGTAGCACTGCATCGTCCAGAGGATTGTAAATTACGTAGCGCTCTTCCTCACATCCTCTTTGTGTAAACTGGTGCATTTGGTCCAGTCCCTCTGAAACTCATATTATTTATAATCCACAGCATGACCTATTTTATATTAAAGAACAGCTTAATATGAAATGGATGTCCTCGCTTCTCTGTATTTTCAGGACATGCTGTACTGTGCTACGTAATCTACTCCTTTCATCTGAAAATCACCAGGGGTCTTTTTCTGTATAAAAACATTGATTTATGGAAGTAACTGAAACAAATTAAGATCGTCAAAGCTCACTGAACTAGATGGATTGCTGGTTAGTGCATTGAGTGAATAGGCATGTATCAGTGATAACTGATTTGATTATGTGGAGATCAGAGCTGTCTCGGTGGAGAACAGATGAGAGGGAGGGATGTTGTCCCATGTGAGCAGTGGTGGAAAAAGTACCCAATTTTCATACTTGAGTAAAAGTAAAGATACCGTAATAGAAAATGACTCAAGTAAAAGTGAGTCACCCAGTAAAATACTACTTGAGTAAAAGTCTAAAAGTATTTGGTTTTAAATATACTTACAGTAAGTATCAAAAGTCAAAGTATAAATACTTTTTTATTCCTTATGTAAAGCAAACCAGATGGCGTAATATTCTTGTTTATTTAATTTACTGATAGCCAGGGTCATGCTCCAACACTCATACATAATTTACAAACTAAGCATGTGTTTAGTGAGTCCGCCAGATCAGAGGCAGTAGGGATGACCAGGGATGTTGTCTTGATAAGTGTGTGAATTAGACAATTTTACTGTCCTGCTAAGCATTCAAAATGTAACAAGTTGTCAAAAATATAAATAGTAAAGTACAGATACCCCAAAAAACTACTTAAGTAGTACTTTCAAGTATTTTTACTTAAGTACTTTACACCACTGCATGTGAGGAGAGCACAAAACAGAGCTCTGGTCATGTCCTGAACTGGGTCTATATGGGTTTATTCACAATTTTGTAATGCAGATAGAAATGTACCATATAGAAATAACATTGTTCTCTAACTCCACATGTTATATTTCTATCTGTGATGCCACTTGAACCATTCAGCCATCTGAAGAAGTGTCCAATTTTTGCCATGCTGGGTATTTGTGTTATGACATTATCCATTCTTTCTAATACAAAAATATGATTACCATTTTTTAAGTAGAATCTTTCAGGCGAAAAGGACATGCAATATGGGAATATATTTGTTACGTATTACATTTTAACAATTTCAACAGAATCATTTCTGTGAAAGCGGTAATCCCCAATGACCATAGTGCATTAGCGACAGATACTTTAGCTGGGGAGGGAGAGCACATAATCTCTACCTTCCCCTCTTTCTCTTTTCTCTCTTTCTCTCTCTCTCTCTCTCTCTCTCTTTCTCTCTTTCTCTCTCTCTCTCTCTCGCTCTCGCTCTCTCTATCTCTCTCTCTCTCTCTCTCTCTCTCTCTCTCGTCTCTCTCCTCTCTCTCTCTCTCCTCTCTCTCTCTCTCTCTCTCTCTGTGTTTCTTTCTGTGTGTGCCTGTCTGTCTGTTGGATATTGGGCTGACGTCAGCTCACTTGACAGCTCTTGACAAGGAAGAAAAACAAGAGGAATCATGACTTCTTGTTGTTGACATGGGTCAAGATAAGAGACTTTTGATTTGCTCGGATTGGAAAGCAGTGTTGTAAATTAAGGAGAGTTATTTTAATGCCTTGCTGAACTAGAAGCTAGTAAACAAGCCATAAGCTAAGACACTTTTTACTTGATTCACAACATGAGAAGTCTTGTACTGTAATGTTTCATTTGCCAGGAAAATAATGTAAAAGAATGCACGATCAGCAGAGATTTTATATTTCCACACAATTTGTCTCTCAGCAGGGTTTCCTTTGTTGCCTCTCTCAAACAAGACCAAATATGTTGTAGGAGCACCTAAACCTGGCTCTAATTCATTTGAATTCAAAATAAACCATTACCTTTTTTACACAACAGACGGTGGTTTGTTTGCTAAAAACGCTCTATTCCATTGCCAGAGAGACTGATGGCTGGCTAGCCAGCTAAGTGCCGATTTCACATGGTGCACAATAATGGCTGTGAATGAGGCTATGAGAGGTTTTGCTTATCACAGAGACTGGCAAACCTTACTAGGCACAGCACACAGGCAGGCAGCACTGGCCTACTTACTCTGTATCATCTTTGCCCTGGGCTCCTTTATCCCCAGTTTAAAGCATCATTAGACAATCACGTTTCCCTTTCTTTTTCCTCCCCCCTCCTCTTACATTTACATTTTAGTCATTTAGCAGACGCTCTTATCCAGAGCGACTTACAGTTAGTGAATGCATACATGTTTATATTTTTTTATACTGGCCCCCCGTGGGAAACAAACCCACATCCCTGCCGGCCAAACCCTCCCCTACCTTGGACGATACTGGACCAATTGTGCGCCGCCCATGGGTCTCCCGGTCGCGGCCGGCTGCGACAGAGCCTGGACTCGAACCAGGATCTCTAGTGGCACAGCTAGCACTGCGATGCAGTGCCTTAGACCACTGCGCCACTCGGGAGATGTCATTATGAGTTGTATACTGTACCACAGGATAAATAACACTGATGAAGGCTGTCATGCTAAAAAGGGTTGTTTTTTCAACATTAGAGAAGGGTTTTTCTGTCAACGTCCATTTGTGCTCTGAGAGTGACATCTCTCATACAGTCTAACCTGTACTGTGGTGGCAGTTTACACAGAACAATAAACTAACTAGCTAGCTAATGTTGTAAGTATACAGTGGGGAAAAAGTATTTAGTCAGCCACCAATTGTGCAAGTTCTCCCACTTAAAAAGATGAGAGAGGCCTGTAATTTTCATCATAGGTACACATCAACTATGACAGACAAAATGAGATTTTCTTTCTCCAGAAAATCACATTGTAGGATTTTTAATGAATTTATTTGCAAATTATGGTGGAAAATAAGTATTTGGTCAATAACAAAAGTTTCTCAATACTTTGTTATATACCCTTTGTTGGCAATGACACAGGTCAAACGTTTTTTGTAAGTCTTCACAAGGTTTTCACACACTGTTGCTGGTATTTTGGCCCATTCCTCCATGCAGATTTCCTCTAGAGCAGTGATGTTTTGGGGCTGTCGCTGGGCAACACAGACTTTCAACTCCCTCCAAAGATTTTCTATGGGGTTGAGATCTGGAGACTGGCTAGACCACTCCAGGACCTTGAAATGCTTCTTACGAAGCCTCTCCTTTGTTGCCCGGGCGGTGTGTTTGGGATCATTGTCATGCTGAAAGACCCAGCCACGTTTCATCTTCAATGCCCGTGCTGATGGAAGGAGGTTTTCACTCAAAATCTCACGATACATGGCCCCATTCATTCTTTCCTTTACACGGATCAGTCGTCATGGTCCATTTGCAGAAAAACAGCCCCAAAGCATGATGTTTCCACCCCCATGCTTCACAGTAGGTATGGTGTTCTTTGGATGCAACTCAGCATTCTTTGTCCTCCAAACACGGCGAGTTGAGTTTTTACCAAAAAGTTATATTTTGGTTTCATCTGACCATATGACATTCTCCCAATCCTCTTCTTGATCATCCAAATGCACTCTAGCAAACTTCAGACGGGCCTGGACATGTACTGGCTTAAGCAGGGGGACACGTGTGGCACTGCAGGATTTGAGTCCCTGGCGGCGTAGTGTGTTACTGATGGTAGGCTTTGTTACTTTGGTCCCAGCTCTCTGCAGGTCATTCACTAGGTCCCCCCGTGTGGTTCTGGGATTTTTGCTCACCGTTCTTGTGATCATGTTGAGGGTGGGGTGAGATCTTGCGTGGAGCCCCAGATCGAGGGAGATATCAGTGGTCTTGTATGTCTTCCATTTCCTAATAATTGCTCCCACAGTTGATTTCTTCAAACCAAGCTGCTTACCTATTGGAGATTCAGTCTTCTCAGCCTGGTGCAGGTCTACAATTTTGTTTCTGGTGTCCTTTGACAGCTCTTTGGTCTTGGCCATAGTGGAGTTTGGAGTGTGACTGTTTGATGTTGTGGACAGGTGTCTTTTATACTGATAACAAGTTCAAACAGGTGCCATTAATACAGGTAACGAGTGGAGGACAGAGGAGCCTCTTAAAGAAGAAGTTACAGGTCTGTGAGAGCCAGAAATCTTAATTGTTTGTAGGTGACCAAATACTTATTTTCCACCATAATTTGCAGATCTGCATGGAGGAATGGGCCAAAATACCAGCAACAGTGTGTGAAAACCTTGTGAAGACTTACAGAAAACATTTGACCTGTGTCATTGCCAACAAAGGGTATATAACAAAGTATTGAGAAACTTTTGTTATTGACCAAATACTTATTTTCCACCATAATTTGCAAATAAATTCATAAAAAATCCTACAATGTGATTTTCTGGAAATTTTTTCCTCATTTTGTCTGTCATAGTTGACGTGTACCTATGATGAAAATTACAGGCCTCTCTCATCTTTTTAAGTGGGAGAACTTGCACAATTGGTGGCTGACTAAATACTTTTTTTCCCCACTGTAAGGCAATGGGGAAGTGATTTCTCTCCCTGCCTCTCCAGTTAAACTGACAGTTGTGATGGCTTTTTGGGGGAAAAATGTCTCTATGAGAATGGGGCCATAGTGAGGGAGTAGATTTAGCAGAAGTGTAATGACAATACTTTAGGTTTGTATTACTATTCTTGTGTGGACCGACCCTTGACATTAGACCTGTGTGTTTGTGTGTGCGTGTGCCTGTCTGTCTAGAGAGTGGCCGTTGCGTGAGGAAGTGAGTGCGACTCAGTGTGTCCACTGGGCAGAACTGTGGCACTCTCCTGGTCTAATCCTGCACTGACGTGGCAGAAATAGCCTGGGTTAAACCTGATCCTCTTTGACTGACCACCTGTGAAGCGGATATTATTCAGCTGGCTATCATGATAAATGTTTCGGCTACCCTGATTGACGTTTCACAATGTCCCGGTCTACCCACTTGAACATTTGTTATCTAAAGCAGTTTATAGTCATTTGGCAGGCAGGGAGGTGCTGCCAGAGCAAACATGATTTACCTCCTGACTGACCAGGAGTTTCCATTGCTGGAGAGAATACCTTTGAGTTTGAGATAGGGGTAACACCAACTACACATACAGTGCATTCGGAAAGTATTCAGACCTCAGAAAATATTCAGACCCCTTCACTTTCACATTTTGTTATGTTACAGCCTTATTCTAAAATTGATTAAATTAATTGATATTTCCTATTTTTATTTTAAAACCTGTTTTTGCTTTGCCATTCTGGGGTATTGTGTGTAGATTGATGAGTAAATTAAAAAAAAATCAATTTTAGCATAAGGTTATAACGTAACAAAGTGGAATAAGTGAAGGGGTCTGAATACTTTCCGAATATACTGTGTGACGACATACTGTATATTCATCTTAAACCCCTCCATAGTTATTAATGTATCTACCTAATGCTCTTCCACGCAAGTCGGAACAAGTATGTGTTATTATGTGGTTATAATGCATTGTAAGACTTGTCATAAGGATGTATGACCCCCTTATAACGTCTATCATCTCATAAACGATGCTGACTTAATGACAACTGTTTGACCACCTCAAATCATAGTTTGTGAGGAAGCACTTTTTTCATAATTCCTATTCATTCCACAGTTGAAGACATCTGTACAAGATGGCCCCTTTTCCTTATTGTTGTGATAAACCCTAATTGATTAATTGGCTTGTTTATTAGAAGACATCCTCTGTCTGCCATGACTATGTCACACTGTTCGCACTGTGAAAGCAATTACATTATTGTTCCGTGTCACTGAAATCCAATTGTTCTCTGGTATAATATGACAAAAAAGCATACTATGCAGGCCTGTGTCCATCCAAGCACACAGCTGTCTCCTATTGATGATGTAATTTGGAAGACAGTTCAGTGAGTTCTCTAAGCTGAAAACGAAATGTATAATTCTATTGATTCACTAAAATGCATACAGTGAGGGAAAAAAGTATTTGATCCCCTGCTGATTTTGTACGTTTGCCCCAGTCTATAATTTTGGTAGGTTTATTTGAACAGTGAGAGACAGAATGACAACAAAAAAATCCAGAAAAATGCATGTCAACATTTTTATAAATTGATTAGCATTTTAATGAGGGAAATAAGTATTTGACCCCTCTGCAAAACATGACTTAGTACTTGGTGGCAAAACCCTTGTTGGCAATCACAGAGGTCAGATGTTTATTGTAATTGGCCACCAGGTTTGCACACATCTCAGGAGGGATTTTGTCCCACTCCTCTTTGCAGATCTTCTCCAAGTCATTAAGGTTTCGAGGCTGACGTTTGGCAACTCGAACCTTCAGCTCCCTCCACAGATTTTCTATGGGATTAAGGTCTGGAGACTGGCTAGGCCACTCCAGGACCTTACTGTGCTTCTTCTTGAGCCACTCCTTTGTTGCCTTGGCCGTGTGTTTTGGGTCATTGTCATGCTGGAATACCCATCCACTACCCATTTTCAATACCCTGGCTGAGGGAAGGAGGTTCTCACCCAAGATTTGACGGTACATGGCCCCGTCCATCGTCCCTTTGATGCAGTGAAGTTCTCCTGTCCCCTTAGCAGAAAAACACCCCCAAAGCATAATGTTTCCACCTCCATGTTTGATGGTGGGGATGGTGTTCTTGGGGTCATAGGCAGCATTCCTCCTCCTCCAAACACGGCGAGTTGAGTTGATGCCAAAGAGCTCTATTTTGGTCTCATCTGACCACAACACTTTCACCCAGTTCTCCTCTGAATCATTCAGATGTTCATTGACAAACTTCAGACGGGCATGTATATGTGCTTTCTTGAGCAGGGGGACCTTGCGGGCGCTGCAGGATTTCAGTCCTTCACGGCGTAGTGTGTTACCAATTGTTTTCTTGGTGACTATGGTCCCAGCTGCCTTGAGATCATTGACAAGATCCTCCCGTGTAGTTCTGGGCTGATTCCTCACCGTTCTCATGATCATTGCAACTCCACGAGGTGAGAACTTGCATGGAGCCCCAGGCCGAGGGAGATTGACAGTTCTTTTGTGTTTCTTCCATTTGCGAATAATCGCACCAACTGTTGTCACCTTCTCACCAAGCTGCTTGGCGATGGTCTTGTAGCCCATTCCAGCCTTGTGTAGGTCTACAATCTTGTCCCTGACATCCTTGGAGAGATCTTTGGTCTTGGCCATGGTGAGAGTTTGGAATCTGATTGATTGATTGCTTCTGTGGACAGGTGTCTTTTATACAGGTAACAAACTGAGATTAGGAGCACTCCCTTTAAGAGTGTGCTCCTAATCTCAGCTCATTACCTGTATAAAAGACACCTGGGAGCCAGAAATCTTTCTAATTGAGAGGGGGTCAAATACATATTTCCCTCATTAAAATGCAAATCAATTTACAACATTTTTGACATGCGTTTTTCTGGATTTTTTTGTTTTTCTGTCTCTCACTGTTCAAATAAACCTACCATTAAAATTATAGACTGATAATTTCTTTGTCAGTGGGCAAACATACAAAATCAGCAGGGGATCAAATACTTTTTTCCCTCACTGTATTCCACCAAAAGCATCCCTATGATAAGTTGTAAGGAGAGACCATGATCCCTCATGTGCAAGGAGTTGGGATATGATAATATTCATAAACGGGTAATCGGGGTTCGATTCCAGAGAGGAAGCCTGAGAAACAGCTACCACATCCAAGGAAGACCGCAGGCATGCAGATTACCCACTCCTGACTCGGAGAGGTAGTGACGAAAAATAACAATACAGGACTCTTTCGAGGCCCTGTAATTGGAATAGGTACACTTAAAATCCTTGAATGAGGATCCATTGGAGAGCAAATCTGATGCCAGCACCTACGGTAATTCCAGCTCCAATAGTGCATCTTAAAGTTGCTGCAGTTTAAAAGCTAGTAGTTGGATCTCGGGTATGAGGTGGCGGTCTGCCACGAGGCGAGCTACGGCCTTTCTCAGCTCCGGCCCCTCGATATGCTTAACGGAGTGTCCCTTGGGGTCAGAAAATAAAGTATTCAAAGCAGACCCTGTCACCTCAAGACCGCAGCTAGTAATAATGGAATAAGACTCCGGTTCTATTTTGTTTTCTTCTGAACTGGGTCCATGATTAAGAGGGATGGCCGGGGGCAATCATATTGTGCCGCTAGAGGTGAAATTCTTGGACCGGCGCAAGACGGGCAAAAGCAATTCCGAATAATGTTTTCATTAATCAAGAATGAAAGTCGGAGGTTTGAAGACTATCAGATACCGTCGTAGTTCTGACCATAAGTGATGCCAACTAGCGATCCGGCAGCATTATTCCCATGATCCGCCGGGCAGCGTCCGGGAAACCAGAGTCTGGGTGCAGCGTTTTGAGATGTCAATTAAAAACACTTTACATAGAAAATATATTATGATTTATTATTAGTAACTAATCATTATTTAACCTTCAGTACAGTAGTACCCCACAAGACATACCACCAGGGGTCTCTTCACAGTCCCTAAGTCCAAAACAGAGGCTGGGAAACGTACTAAATAGTAATGACTACATGAAACTCTCTTAGACATTGGGTAACTTCAACCTAGTAGGAAAATCAATAAAAAAAACAGATAAAACAGCACCTCACAATACAACATGGACTGTGAAGAGACACACACCCACACATTGTAATATTGTACATTTTATATTGTACATTTGTAATGGTGGAGCAGTGTACATTTGTATATTGCACAATGTCTTGTGTGATGTAAATTATTGTTTTGTTTTTGTGTTCCTGTTTGGACCCCAGGAAGAGTAGTGGCTGCCTTGGCAACAGCTAATGGCGATCCTAATAAAATACTAGTAAACTACTGTAGTCTGAGTGTTCTTTGAAAATAACAGGCTCTTCCAGTTCCTAGAAGTGATGGGCTACTTTTCTGTTCTTGTAAAACCTCTATTCTGGAGCCATGACAACCATGATCCTGAGATTCTAAGCTTTTTTCCTTTTCTTCCCTCAATTTCTCTGAGATTTGAGGCTGAATAGAATCTGTTCAGAGTTAGATTAGTCATTACACTGTGTGCGTATTGCACTGTCATCTAGCAGCACTAAGGCTTCATCCCGTCTCTGACAGAGACATATTCATAGGCTGCATTCCAAATCTACTACTAGCCACTTGCCCTAGGCACTTCTGTAGATCTCAAATGGTTGGATAGGATTATTCAATATGTGGAAAATTCCACTTAGTCTATATCGGAGGGTAAGATGGAGATATTGCGTCAACCAAGCCTTTCAGATCTATGTAAAGTGCTAAGGGTAGAGGCTAAGGGCCAATTTTGGAATTCAGTAATATTATGTTGAGAATGTTTGAGCATGAACATTTCTAGTGTTCAGAGGAGAAGTGAACAATGTGAATGCCTGACACACCTACTGAAATCTCTTCACATGAAAGTGCCTCCTCACTGAGAGAGCATTAAGATCAGAGCACCAAGGGCACTGCAATGTCACCTGTAGCAGCTACCTTGCCAGGGACCTGACAGACAGACTGCCAGTTTGTGTGCATGTGCGCATCTGCACCTGTGAAACACACCCACACCCAGACACACCCTGCTTCTACTACTGTATCTCTGCCTCTATGAAACTACATGGTTCTCTAGCCATGATGCAACACACTGCGCCATACTCACTCTCTATCAAAGCCTCAGCTCCTATCCTAAAACACTGCAAGGGACAAGAGGTCTAGTCATGACATTTCATACAGTACAATGTATGAAATGTGCTTCAATGTCAGCTTAATACTCTATGTGAAATGACATGTCTCTCTGCTGAGCAGGAGGTTACGCAATCACAGAGAGTCTCAATGAGTTCTGACCTTGCAGTGAATTCTCCCATATTTTTAAGAATGAGGTATTTTCAGACTGTGCCATCTGGGAAAGACACATAGTCTATATATTGCAGTGTGATGTGGGTATTGAAGTCTGTAGTGAATATACACTACCGTTAAAAAGTTTGGGGTCACTTAGAAATGTCCTTGTTTTCCATGAAAACATACATGAAATGAGTTTGAATAGGAAATATAGCAAAATGAATAGGAAATGTAGTCATTGACAAGGTTAGAAATAATGATTTTTAATTGAAATAATAATTGTGTCCTTCAAACTGTGCTTTCGTCAAATAATCCTCCATTTGCAGCAATTACAGCCTTGCAGACCTTTGGCATTCTAGTTGTCAATTTGTTGAGGTAATCTGAAGAGATCTCACCCCATGCTTCCTGAAGCACCTCCCACAAGTTGGATTGGCTTGATATGGTTGAGATCCGGTGACTGTGCTGGCCACTCCATTATAGACAGAATACCAGCTGACTGCTTCTTCCCTAAATAGTTATTGCATAATTTGGTTCTGTGCTTTGGGTCATTGTCCTGTTGTAAGAGGAAATTGGCTCCAATCAAGCGCCGTCCACAGGGTATGGCATGGTGTTGCAAAATGGAGTGATAGCCTTCCTTCTTCAAGATCCCTTTTACCCTGTACAAATCTCCCACTTTACCACCACCAAAGCACCCCCAGACAATCACATTGCCTCCACCATGCTTGACAGATGGCATCAAGCACTCCTCCAGCATCTTTTCATTTGGTCTGCGTCTCACAAATGTTCTTCTTTGTGATCCGAACACCTCAAACTTCAATTTGTCTGTCCATAACACTTTGTTCCAATCTTCTTCTGTCCAGCGTCTGTGTTCTTTTGCCCATCTTAATCTTTTATTTTTATTGGCCAGTCTGAGATATGGCTTTTTCTTTGCAACTTTGCCTAGAAGGTCAGCACCCCAGAGTCACCTCTTCACTGTTGATGTTGAGACTGGTGTTTTGCACGTACTATTTAATGAAGCTGCCAGTTGAGGACCTGTGAGGCGTCTGTTTCTCAAACTAGACACTCAAATGTATTTGTCCTCTTGCTCAGTTGTGCACCGGGGCCTCCCACTCCTCTTTCTATTATGGTTAGAGCCAGTTTGCGCTGTTCTGTGAAGGGAGTAGTACACAGCGTTGTACGAGATCTTCAGTTTCATGGCAACTTCTCGCATGGAATAGCCTTCATTTCTCAGAACAAGGGTGGTATTTCTGTCTGTAATAAATAAAGCCCCTTTGTGGGGAAAAACTCATTCTGATTGGCTGGGCCTTGCTCCCTAGTGGGTGAGCCTGGCTCCCAAATTGGGTAGGCCTATGCCTTCCCAGGCCCACCAATGGCTGCCCAGTCATGTGAAATCCATAGATTAGGGCCTAATGAATTTATTTCAATTGACTGATTTCCTTTTATGAACTGTAACTCTGTAAAATCTTTGAAGTTGTTGCATGTTGCGTTTTATATTTTTGATCAGTATATGTTCAGTTCATGGTCTCTGAAGATTGAAACATTGTACATTCCCAAGTGCATTTTCCCTTGAGATTGAAACATTCCCATGAGTCATGGAGCAATCGTTCCTCCAAACCTTGTCCTGTGTAAATGACTGAACTCCCCTGTTGTGTTTAAAAATATTCCAACCTTTATATGAGTCACAATAATACATTAATGAATAATGTGAGTAATATCAAAGTCATTAGATGTTGTGATTACACTATTCATCCCAATTCTTCCGCTCGGTAGCAGTAGGCTAGAGTGCTTTGTCAGAATGGATTGAGGCTAGTGTTACGTCTTCACTAGCTAAGCCGGGCTAAATAAGATGATCTGATTTGTCAGCAGTTAGCATGACATTAGAGAGCCACTGTACCCGGCACCGGTCTGTCCTTCATTTCCTCCTGAGGCTGTCACCCAAACAAGATGCTCTTTATGGATATGATTTTTTTTATGTTTATGTTTTCACTTCTCTTATTGATGTGTGTAAAGGGATTTTAATGTCTTCAACTGCTATAGAAGTAAAATGTTTTATTAGTAGCACTGTTACACCTGGACTAAGAGGAGTTGGAAGCTTCCATGTGTTTTAATGGAGAATATGAACATTATTGTTGGAACTGTGGAGAGCATAGTTTGAAGACCTAGAGTGAATGGGATGCAGGATTCTGGCAACCATAAGTGGTGCAGATTGTGGAAACGGTGCAGAGGACGGTATGCCAGTCCAAAGAAAATGTACTAACTGTTGTTTTATGAAATGTTAGTAGGCCTATATTATTTACTGTCATGCTACTGAAGAGCGATTTTGGTCGCCTGATGACTCAAACTGAATTCTTCCGCTGCTCTATCGTTCACTACATACTTCAGTCTGAGACTACAATCATTTAAGTTGTTTGTGGTGATGTCAAAATGAGGGGTGTTGTACAAAACAAAGTCATCAGTGATTGGATCATCTCTAACCAATCAGAGTATCAAAGCCAATGACGAATTTTCTAAATGCTGCTTTACCGACATGTATTCTGGCTCTGGCCTAACCAATCAGTTTCAGGGACTAATCAGACAGTCTATAATGGATTCCCATTTTCATAATCGTCTGGGTGGTACTCTGATCCAGACTCATTTCGGAGAAGAAACAAACATTGTCCGTGTGCGTGGCGTAGCGTTTGGCCGGAGCAAGGAATTTGGGTAGCCAGGCAACGATTCTTGCTGTTCAATGTTTCTTTGGTGAGCAATGGGCATATTAGTCAAAGTCCAATTTTGATTTGTCCAATGATTCAGGGTGTGGCTACATTAGTTGTTTTCATTGAGTAAGCAGAACAATCCATCTTTTAAAACTATTGTTAACTAGACCCATTACACTTTGTGTTCACTGAATATGCAAATTGTCTTTCCCAAATAGAATCAGCATTGACCTATTTCTACATGAGTCCCTGTTAACTGAATTTGCTCACTACCACCAGTGCAGTATTTTAAGCTTCCTCCGGGTGTAGAATCAGGTCTGCAGTGCTGTGTTTAATAATCCACAGAAAAGGCCCATCCTCGGGCTAATCAGAGGCGCTATTATCATTATTAATCAGTTACTCATGTTGCTGATACGGCCTGGTCGTCGAGTGCTGGGGGGTTTATATGATTTTTAATGGATCCTGCTGGTTGGGACCTGCTGGGGCAGGATTGGCCTATAGAAGAGATCTGGTGGTACCTTCTGGGGTGGATTGGCCTATAGAATAGATTTGGGCCTCTAGAATTGCGTTTTAAGGACTTGCAAAGCTCCAGGTAGAAGTTCCACACAGGCGTAGGGTCACCTTATTCTGCTCCAGTACTAGCCTTTCCCTGGGGAAGAATGGCATCTAGGGCAACTTCATCATACTCCAAGTGCTAACCTATATGAATCCAATGCTAACCTATATGAATCCAAGAATGTGAGGGGAAAAAAGGTTGAAAGATAATTTTTGTGGATGTGAGTGATGTATAAGTGCACTATGTGCAGTGAAATGTGTAGTGCATCTTAAGTAGCTATGATTACATCTGGCATGTTTACTTAGATAATAAAACACTGTGGGTGACTGGCTGGGTGACAAAGTGGGTTTGTTGTGTCTCGCTCCCTGTTTAGCCGTCTAACCTCTTACTGTCTGTGTTTTCATAGCTGCAGGACGAGCAACAGAAAAAGCCTGATAGGAAGTGGTCAGTCTTCAGCGCTTCCGCGACCTCACTCCCCCCTCTCATCACATACAGGTAAGGTGTGTGTGTGTGTGTGCGCATCATCTTTGTACAGGCATCTATCTGTTTTGATGTGTGTGAAGTGCCCAAATGAGTGACAGACATAATTAATGTTGTGATTGCTCGCATGCAAAAAGACCAAAGAGGCTTTGGTTGGCCAGAGTGTTCTATCCCTGAATGAAGGCCATTGTCTGTGGGTAAATGAAGAAGAGGTCTGGGAAAAAAACACATGTCTGAAGTGCCGTCTATTTCTTGTTCATTAGCCACCCACAAGATCCTCCTCGGTCTCTCTCTCTGTAGACCTTTACCACAACAACACACAAGTGTCTCAAATGTTAGCAACCAGTCTTCATCAGCAAAGTACTTTTTCATTGTCAACATTTAGTGCTACTGCCTTTCTAAAGATACGTCTCTGATGAGATGGTTTAAAAGGGTGAGTGCGCTGTGCTATCGGAGCGCTGACATTGGAGCCAGCTGTGATTGTGATTGTAATGGATCCTGAAGTCGTGGGCCTCAGGAAGGAAATGCACAGGAGCGCAAAGAGGGGAGGGTGGACTTCATTTATTCCAGCTTGGGCGTTTTATTTCCTGACAGGCCAATCACTGATAACAGCCCTCCGTTTGCGCAGTCAGACTTTCTAACCTTGCTAGAGAGCTCGGTCCTTAAGATGAACTATGTGAGAAATAGTGAAGGTAATAACAACGTTGAACTGTGGGAGAACTTCCCTGGCTGGCACAGACGTATTGCAGGTGCATGTTCATTCGGTAAGAGCATTGTTTCCAGTTCTCATGTTAGGACTACAGTAGGTGTTTGGGTTGTTAGTTACATTGTTGCAGCCTTTCACAGTTGTTTTGACATTTGGTTGATAGCCAAGCTGGAGAGTGTGTCAACATTACCCACTGTATTTTTACATTTTGTTCACTGTTCTTTTCTACAGGAAAATAGCTATTATTTTCCTATTAAGAATGTTGGATCATTAGTGATTGTTTTTCACATGATTTCTAAACGGTATTTAATTTAGATTAAATCTTCTCAGTATACTCTATTATGACTGCTGGAGTTTATCAAAGCAATCCCAGGATCTTTTCTCTAAACACATAAGATTCATCAGTATTATCCTGTGTCCACTGTTATTAAAATTTGACAAAATACGATTAATCTCAAAGAATGGACTTGACCTCCATCTGGATTGGGTTAAAGTAACTGTCCAGTATTTCCAGATTTCTATTAAATGTGACCTATTATTAATTACAATATAACTTCAACAGTTTTCCTTCCAAAATTGGTAATTAAGTATGTTAAAAAGCATTTTTTCTGTGTTTGAATGGTGTGGGCATACCCAAACAGAATGGTGTGGGGCATATATCTGTCATTAACTCAGCCAATGTGCCGACATCATGTTCTATGAGGAAATATCAAGCATTTGTTTGAGGTGGGGTTTTTGAAGTGTGTTTTTCTCCAAATTATGCTTTGCCCACAAATACTGAACAAGTCAACAACATTATTTGGGTATGAGTTAACAGAATGTGAACTTTTAAAAGTGATATTTTCACTGGACAGTTACTTTGTCTTCCTTTTTAAATATTTTGGACATCAGCGCAATCTTGAGGGAATCCTATTTGAGTCAGAAAAGGATATTGATATGATAGGTAAGCTATAGAAAACCTTGCAGAGAGCCTATACAATTGACAATCTCTTAGAAAAAAATATTAAGTATTGGAACCAAGATTAAAAAATAACTGATATTGGCACAAGATGGAGAGAATGCTGGAACATAACTAACGCTATTACAGTTAATGAAAATGTACGCTTAATTCAGTATAAATTAATGAATAGAATTTATAATACAAGAGACAAAATTCACAAATTCTACAGCACAACAGCATAGTCATGTCTGAAGTTTAAAAACTACTAATGACTCAATAATTCATGCTTCTGGGAACGTTACAAAATTCTAAAGTTAATGGGTGGAGTTGGATGTCAGCGGTATTGGAATGTAAATGTACTTTTAATTTGTCTGTCTGTATATTTCAAGACATGACATGAGGGTGCAAGTGAGATACCAGATGGGTTGGACAATACTCTTCTCATCAATTATCTTTAAAAAACGTATATTCAAACTGGAAATCAGCCAATCCTCCATCGTTCACGTAATGGAGGTGTGATGTTTGTATGGTGCAGTCATTTGTATGTGTATGTTTTGTATTGTTTATAAAATATAAAATAACATTAAAAAAAAAAAAAAAAAAAAGATTAATTTTAAAAGTGAGATTTTCTCTGGACAGTTACTTTTCCTCAGGCGTATTCTATCCCATCCTGGTGATTTACTCATCTACACTCATCAGCTATGATTAAATTACACCACAATTAAACAGGTGACATCCACCATCTAACCAGCCTCTCTCTGTTCCTCAGTACCACCATTGTTCCCCCAGTACCGCAAAGCCCTCTCGCTATCGTCAGATTTGTCACAGGGGGTGCCATCGTTGCCCTTAGTTAATTAACAGTTTACTCCCGCCTTTGGCTACAGAGTTAATTGTGGTTAATTAACGTTGGACCGTGGGTTGTTTCTTTAACTTATTGGTGAGGGAACACGAGACCTAATTGCTGCCGTTGGGGAAAGCCCTGCAGTTTGATGTGTTCAATAGCCTGAGTCCGTAGACACAAATCAGTAGGGCTGTGGGAAATAAGTGGATGCTGTCCATATGGATGGTGGGATTGAGAGATGGAGGGATAGAGGGATCATTTGGAGGGCCTCCCTGGTAGAGGGTGCTTCAAGCTCCACTATAGGACTTAAAGTTCTGCAATAAGACCCCAAATAGTAGCGTCTGTTAGCTAAGGGCTAACTAACGCCTGATGGACTGTTGTAAATGTGTGTCTTATAGCCAGATGTCTTCACCCAGACTGTCTTTGTTGGTATAACGCCATTGTGTTAACATACAGTTGAAGTCGGAAGTTTACATACACTTAGGTTGTAGTCATTAAAACTCGTTTTTCAACCACTCCACACATTTCTTGTTAACAAACTATAGTTCTGGCGAGTCTGTTAGGACATCTACTTTGTGCATGACACAAGTAATTTTTCCAACAATTGTTTACAGACAGATTATTTCACTTATAATTCACTGTATCACAATTCCAGTGGGTCAGAAGTTTACATACACTAAGTTGACTGTGCCTTTAAACAGATTGGAAAATTCCACAAAATGATGTCATGGCTTTAGAAGCTTCTGATAGGCTAATTTACATATTTTGAGTCAATTGGAGGTGTACCTGTGGATGTATTTCAAGGCCTACCTTCAAACTCAGTGCATCTTTGCTTGACATCATGGGAAAATCAAAAGACATCAGCCAAGACCTCAGAAAAAAACTTGTAGACCTCCACAAGTCTGGTTCATCATTGGGAGCAAATTTCAAACGCCTGAAGGTACCACGTTCATTTGTACAAACAATAGTATGCAAGTATAAACACCATGGGACCACGCAGCCTTCATACCGCTCAGGAAGGAGACGCGTTCTGTCTCCTAGAGATGAACGTACTTTGGTGCGAAAAGTGCAAATCAATCCCAGAACAACAGCATGGACCTTGTGACGATGCTAGAGGAAACAGTATCTATATCCACAGTAAAACAAGTCTGATATCGACATAACCTGAAAGGCCGCTCAGCAAGGAAGAAGCCACTGCTCCAAAACCGCCATAAAAAAGCCAGACTACGGTTTGCAACTGCACATGGGGACAAAGATCATACTTTTTGGAGAAAGTCCTCTGGTCTGATGAAACAAAAATATAACTGTTTGGCCATAATGACCATCGTTATGTTTGGACGAAAAAGGGGGTGGCTTGCAAGCCGAAGAACACCATCCCAGCCGTGAAGCATGGGGGTGGCAGCATCATGCTGTGGGGGTGCTTTGCTGCAGGAGGGACTGGTGCACTTCACAAAATAGATGGCATCATGAGGAAGGAAAATGATGTGGATATATTGAAGCAATATATAAGCATACTTCCAAAGTTGTGGCAAAATGGTTTAAGGACAACAAAGTCAAGCTATTGGAGTGGCCATCACAAAGCCCTGACCTCAATCCTATAGAACATTTGTGGGCAGAACTGAAAAAGCGTGTGCGAGGAAGGAGGCCTACAAACCTGACTCAGTTACACCAGCTCTGTCAGGAGGAATGGGCCAAAATTCACTCAACTTATTGTGGGAAGCTTGTGGAAGGCTACCTGAAATGTTTGACCCAAGTTAAACAATTTAAAGGCAATGCTACCAAATACTAATTGAGTGTATGTAAACTTCTGACCCACTGGGAATGTGATGAAAGAAATAAAAGCTGAAATAAATCATTCTCTTTACTAATTGACCTAAGACAGGGAATCTTTACTAGGATTAAATGTCAGGAATTGTGAAAAGCTGAGTTTAAATGTATTTGGCTAAGGTGTATGTAAACTTCCGACTTTAACTGTAGCTATTTAGACTACGGTATTAGCCTAAAGGCTACTCTTACAGTAGCCGATAACTCCACTGATAACCGATATACAATTAATAGGATGAAAAAAGGGAATCTCATGCTTTTCTGAACATTTGCAGCTATTCTCATGATGTGTCATTGTCACAATGTATAAAATCAAAATTTGAAGCATAGTTATTGGACAATTGCTCTTTTGTTTGGCAATTTATGAGAATTCAGTGTGGGAAAATTACTTTCATTTCCCTGCTGTAAAACAATATATCAGCAAGTTTTCGGTGTCGGACCCAAAAAAACATATTGGTCGGGCTCTTTTTATTTGAATTTGAAAGAATTAAAATTTTTTTTTGTGCCATTTCTCATGTGTGTCTCCTGATTAATCCAAGCCGATGAGCTGGAATGTGGAAGTATATTATTAAGATTATGTAATTACTGCTTCAAGCAGATCAGTCCCATTTGAGAGACTTTCAATCTAACTAGATTAAGCTCCATCAGATAAGAGTCAAGGAAACATAATAAAATCTAAAATGCCGTATAAAGTAAAATAGCTGAGAGTAAATTGATGATGAAATGTATTTTATCTATGCTGGCTTATTACACTTTTTTTTTTGTGTGTGTCAATGAATTGTGACAGTGGTTAGACCAAGTCCTAATTTGGTAAAGGTTTGATTGTATGCTCTAGGCTTAGTATTAATATTTCCTTCATTCATTTCAAATCCTTTTATCTCAGGTTTATGGAATGTTCTCTTTAATGACTTCTAATCTCCCCTTGTTTCTCTGCTTCCTCTCTGAACAACAGGAACGAGTCCTCAAGACAGCCCCAGAAACTTCTCTCCTAGTGCCTCAGCCCACTTCTCATTTGCACGAAGGTATTGATAAAAGTAAAAGTCAATGCCAGTTGAATTTTTTAGCCAAAACTCCACTCAACTAGCATGCCAATAGTCAGCAATAAAACGCTTAGGGGCAGGCTTTATTGTTTTGAATTTCCAGAAAGTAATTTTACTTTATCTTGGTGGTTATCTGACAAATGGCATGAGAAATGTGACATACATAGGAAATACAAATCTTAAAAGAAACATTTCTCTTTTTTTAAACAACGAAGCCAAATTGTGGTGCTATTATTGTCTGAAGCAGACAGGCAACGGTTCTTTTGAGAAGCAAAGACAGGATCTCACTGTGTTCTGACAGGCTCTCTTTACAGAGATAGAAATCAGAGGCAGGTTCAAGGAAGACGAAGACGAGGAGTTTCAGACTCTCAAACTCCTCGCGTTTTCTGAAGAGCTTTTCTCCACGTCTTCACAAAAGCCTGAAATCTTTTTTGTTCTACCCTCACTCAACAATACTTTATTTAACAGCTTTTTTATTTATCGCTATGATTCAGTCAGTGCCACAGACCAGACAGGTAATGTCATGTTAGGCCTCTGTTTTGTCATGTAAACCTCATACATCTTCATAGCTCTTCTTCCTGTTACTCATGTCTATGAATACACACAACGTCATTGTAACTCACATGTCCGTTCGAGCAATGTGTATGATTACATCATGTCATTGTTACCGTGCCATTATACCTGAATCATGAAAATCCTTTTTGATGTGTTTCTAGCTGTCCCTACATCTAACCCCACATGTTATTCCTCTCAGAGTTTGTATCATTGTTCAGTGTTATTGGTTAGTGCAACGAAGACATCTCACTACTAGGTAGGTGTGGGATGGCAGGTAGCAGAGATCAAGGAAACTGTGTGTTCTGTGTAGGTTCGATTCCCACGGGGGACCAGTACAAAAATGTATGCATTGACTACTGTAAGTCGCACTGGATAAAAGTGTCTGCTAAATTACTACAATGTAATCCAATATAAATGCTGCAGTAGGCTATTGAAAAGCAGAGTATTTTCAACCTATTCCGCCAGAAAGGTAAAGGTTGCATATGACCTACATTACCAGTCAAAAGTTTGGGGACACCTACTCATTCAAGGGTTTTTCTTTATTTTTACTATTTTTTACATTGTAGAATAATAGTGAAGACCTCAAAACTATTAAATAATGCATATGGAATCATGTAGTAACCAAAAAAGTGTTAAACAAATCAAAATATATTTTATATTTGAGATTCTTCAAATAGCCACCCTTTGCCTTGATGACAGCTTTGCACACTCTTGGCATTCTCTCATCCAGCTTCACCTGGAATGCTTTTCCAACAGTCTTGAAGGAGTTCCCACATACAGTGGGGAAAAAAAGTTTTTAGTCAGCCACCAATTGTGCAAGTTCTCCCACTTGAAAAGATGAGAGGCCTGTAATTTTCATCATAGGTACACGTCAACTATGACAGACAAAGTGAGGAAAAAAAATCCAGAAAATCACATTGTAGGATTTTTAATGAATTTATTTGCAAATTATGGTGGAAAATAAGTATTTGGTCAATAACAAAAGTTTCTCAATACTTTATTATATACCCTTTGTTGGCAATGACACAGGTCAAACGTTTTCTGTAAGTCTTCACAAGGTTTTCACACACTGTTGCTGGTATTTTGGCCCATTCCTCCATGCAGATCTCCTCTAGAGCAGTGATGTTTTGGGGCTGTCGCTGGGCAACACGGACTTTCAACTCCCTCCAAAGATTTTCTATGGGGTTGAGATCTGGAGACTGGCTAGGCCACTCCAGGACCTTGAAATGCTTCTTACGAAGCCACTCCTTCGTTGCCCGGGCGGTGTGTTTGGGATCATTGTCATGCTGAAAGACCCAGCCACGTTTCATCTTCAATGCCCTTGCTGATGGAAGGAGGTTTTCACTCAAAATCTCACGATACATGGCCCCATTCATTCTTTCCTTTACACGGATCAGTCGTCCTGGTCCCTTTGCAGAAAAACAGCCCCAAAGCATGATGTTTCCACCCCCATGCTTCACAGTAGGTATGGTGTTCTTTGGATGCAACTCAGCATTCTTTGTCCTCCAAACACGACGAGTTGAGTTTTTACCAAAAAGTTATATTTTGGTTTCATCTGACCATATGACATTCTCCCAATCCTCTTCTGGATCATCCAAATGCACTCTAGCAAACTTCAGACGGGCCTGGACATGTACTGGCTTAAGCAGGGGGACACGTCTGGCACTGCAGGATTTGAGTCCCTGGCGGCGTAGTGTGTTACTGATGGTAGGCTTTGTTACTTTGGTCCCAGCTCTCTGCAGGTCATTCACTAGGTCCCCCCGTGTGGTTCTGGGATTTTTGCTCACCGTTCTTGTGATCATTTTGACCCCACGGGGTGAGATCTTGCGTGGAGCCCCAGATCGAGGGAGATTATCAGTGGTCTTGTATGTCTTCCATTTCCTAATAATTGCTCCCACAGTTGATTTCTTCAAACCAAGCTGCTTACCTATTGCAGATTCAGTCTTCCCAGCCTGGTGCAGGTCTACAATTTTGTTTCTGGTGTCCTTTGACAGCTCTTTGGTCTTGGCCATAGTGGAGTTTGGAGTGTGACTGTTTGAGGTTGTGGACAGGTGTGGAGGCCATCACTCTCCTTCTTGGTAAAATAGCCCTTACACAGCCTGGAGGCGTGTTGGGTCATTGTCCTGTTGAAAAACAAATGATAGTCCCACTAAGGCCAAACCAGATGGGATGGCTTATCACTGCAGAATGCTGTGGTAGCCATTCTGGTTAAGTGTGCCTTAATTCTAAATAAATCACAGACAGTTTCACCAGCAAAGCACCCCCACACCATAACACCACCACCTCCATGCTTTACGGTGGGAAATACACATGCGGAGATCATCCGTTCACCCACACCGCGTCTCACAAAGACATGGCGGTTGGAACCAAAAATCTCAAATTTGGACTCCAGACCAAAGGACATATTTCCACCGGTCTAATATCCATTGCTCGTGTTTCTTGGCCCATGCAGGTCACTTCTTCTTATTGGTGTCCTTTAGTAGTGGTTTCTTTGCAGCAATTAGACCATGAAGGCCTGATTCACACAGTCCCCTCTGAACAGTTGATGTTGTGATGTGTCTGTTACTTGAACTCTGTGAAGCATTTATTTGGGCTGCAATGTCTGAGGCTGATAACTCTAATGAACTTATCCTCTGCAGCAGAGGTAACTCTGGGTCTTTCATTCCTGTGGCGGTCCTCATGAGAGCCAGTTTCATCATAGCGTTTGATGGTTTTTCCGACTGCACTGCTTATTTGAGCTGTTCTTGCCATAATATGGACTTGGTCTTTTACCAAATAGGGCTATCTTCTGTATACCCCACTACCTTGTCACAACACAACTGATTGGCTCAAACGCATTAAGAAGGAAATAAATTCCACAAATTAACTTTTAAGAAGGCACACCTGTTAATTGAAATGCATTCCAGGTGACTGGCTCATGAAGCTGGTTGAGAGAATGCCAAGAGTGTGCAAAGCTGTCATCAAGTCAAAGGGTGGCTATTTGAAGAATCTCAAATATAAAATATTGATTTGTTTAACACATTTTGGTTACTACATGATTCCATATGTGTTATTTCTTAGTTTTGATGTCTTCACTATTATTCTACAATGTGTAAAACTGTAAAAATAAATAAAAACCCTTGAATGAGTAGGTGTCCAAACTTTTGACTGGTAGTGTACCTCTGATCAGTACTGCACATAGGTCAAAGGTCATCCAGAATGTTGTGCATTTGTAGTCTCCCGAGTGGCGCAGTGGTTCGAATCCAGGCTCTGTCGTAGCCGGCCGCGACAGGGTGACCCATGGGGCGGCGCACAATTTGGCCCAGCGTTGTCCAGGGTAGGGGAGGGAATGGCTGGCAGGGAGGTAGCTCAGTTGGTAGAGCATGGCGTTTGCAACGCCAGGGTTGTGGGTTCGATTCCCATGGGGGGCCAGTATAAAAAATAAAATCAAAAAAATAATAATGTATGCACTCACTAACTGTAAGTCGCTCTGGATAAGAGCGTCTGATAAATGACTAAAATGTAAATGTAGTGTAGGTATCTGTTATTCACAATCCTGGAGCTTTGAGTAGTCTTGTTTTGAGTATCATTCATAGTTATTTTTATATTTTGTTAACTACAGTTCTCATATTGCTGATTGGTTATGGATGGGTTTTGAGTTTATGCTGACGTCTGTCTCTTTCTATCTCTGTCTGTTTGTGTGTTTGAGCAGGACTGATGGACGACGCTGGTCTTTGGCCTCTCTGCCCTCCTCTGGCTATGGCACCAACACACCCAGCTCCACTGTCTCTGTATGTACCATACCTTACCACTCGATTTGTTAAAGGACATGAAAACAGAATATATTGTATGTGTTAGCTAGATTCTTTAAAAGCCATGCCAAAAAGGTTGTTAAACCTAAACCTCTTCACATACAGTATACTGATGGAAAACCCTTTCAATCTAAAAATACTTATACCAAATCACTGGATATTCAAGAATCATTCGAAAAAATATGTTTCAATGTGAAATGATCATTTGATGGACATCCTCTAGTCTGTACTTCAGTCACCAGTACTGTACTGTAAGCTACTGGTAGTCAGAGATGAGGGGTGCCATAGTGATCAGATTCTCCCGCTAGTGTCTCGCAGGCTGACTCATACCACCAGACGCTGTGTTTAGGGCCAGCAGATTTGTTTTGGAGTAAACATGGCCCTGGCACAAACGCACACGCACACGCACATACACATGCACATACACATACACATAACTCTGCTCTGTTTACTGACAAACTAAAATCACACAGGCAGGAGATGGTCAACTCAGACACCACACACAGGCCCCATGGCTGAGTACACAAGCCAAGTAAACAAGCCGTCGCACACAAAGTAATGGGTTGTTTGTTAACGGCCATGTTGTATGAGGACGATCAATTAGAGCTGATAAATACTTAACATGTTGCCGGAGGCTGGTGAGAACGACTGGTTAGGAGGAACTACTATAGAGTGGGATTAACGCCAGCAACTGTGTTGTTTGTCCAGGCTATGTTTGCAGCTTACTTTAAATTGAATCCCTATTTGGATTGGATTTGAGAACAATGTAATGAGAAGAAAAGGGGGATTGTTTACAGTAATTTGTTAGCTTTCATGTACTGTACCGTCACAACCATTTTGGCACCCATAAGTTTCAGTCCTTCATTTTCAAGACGCTGTAAAAGAGAATCAAAACCGCAATCAACATTTACCCAATCAAATAAACACAACAGTCAGAAAAAACACGCAACTCTCCTGATAAGTCATTCTCTCGTGCAAAAACATCATCAAAGCGTTAGCCTCCTTCTTTTTCTCTTTTATTTTCTTGTTCATTGTATATTCATTTCATTTCCAGTCGTCCTGTTCATCACAGGAGAAGCTGCACCAGCTACCTTCCAGCCCACGCCGGACGAGCTACACTTTCTCTCCAAGCACTTCTGCACTGAGAGCATCGCCGGGGACGACCGACGGAGGGGGACAGCGCCCATGCGACCCCGCTCACGCAGTCTCAGGTATGTATGGAGGCCCGGCAAGGTCACACACCTTTTAAGGATGCTGGGTGTAACAGTCGCTGAAAATGACACTCCTTATATGTACTTTTATGTGATTATTTTTCAAATTAGATGTGATTCATACTATATATATATTTATTTTATTTAACCTTTATTTATCCAGGTTAGTCTCATTGAGATAAAATCTATTTTTCAAGAGAGACCTGGTCCAACCATATATCACATGTATCAATGTATTTTTGATGTAAGATAAAGTATGTGTTATAAGTACTGATCATTCCTTTATTTTCTTATGCGTTTGCAGCCCTGGAAGATCCCCATCCTGTTGTGATCATGAGATCATTATGATGAACCATGTCTACAAGGAACGCTTTCCTAAGGTGAGGGGACAACAGGAGTATAACTAATATTGCCTTATCTCCTTAACGTTTGTTATTTGGTATCAATTATTATTTCTATATTTTTATAAATATTTTATTTTATTTCACCTTTATTTAACCAGGTAAGCCAGTTGAGAACAAGTTCTCATTTACAACTGCGACCTGGCCAAGATAAAGCAAAGCAGTGCGATAAAAACAACAACACAGAGTTACATATGGGGTAAACAAAACATAAAAGTCAAAAATACAACAGAAAATATATATACAGTGTGTGCGAATGTAGTAAGTTATGGAGGTAAGGCAATAAATAGGCCATAGTGCAAAATAGTTACAATTTCATATTAACACTGGAATGATAGATGTGCAAAAGATTATATTGCAGATAGATTGTAACTTCCATCAATGCAATTGTCTGCATCACTTCCAATCCCCCATATGTTTTTTTTCTTGCATATATATATATATATATATATATATATATATATATATATATATATATATATATATATACACACACACATACATACACACATACATACATACATATAAATACATATATACATATCCTTTAAAAATATATATTTCCCTTTATTACTTTCCAACCCCACCACCCCTTCCCTAATTGAAGTAAACTAGTGAACAACAATGCTTAGGCCTCTACTTCACCTTATACATAATATATACATTTTATGCACACAGTCAATTTGACAATAATTACTCCTGAACTTCCTCTACCCTCAACCTCTCCGATCATTTTCATGATGTCCATCCGGTTTGCTTCTATATGCCATATCTTTCTAACTGTGCTCTTTCACAAAAGCTCTCAACCTATAACCTATATACTTATTATGAACACAGTATGCTTTACATTAGTTATCTAGTTATCATAAGGTTTATTACACACAGTGACAAAAGTTGCTATTTTTCAACCACTTCTAAACTTTTTACCCTCTCCTGACCACTTTTGCACCACTTTCTACCACCTTTAAACCTTTTTACCCAACATGTCCTCTCCTTCTAACCCTTTCCACCCCTCCGTGTCTCTCCAGGCCACGGCCCAGATGGAGGAGAGGATCCAGGAGATCATCCGGACCAGCTCCCCGGAGAGCGTGCTGCCGCTGGCGGACGGTGTGCTGGGGTTTGCTCACCACCAGATCATCGAGCTGGTCCGCGACTGCCTGGAGAAGAGCCGCCTGGGCCACGTCACCTCGCGCTACTTCTGCGAGCTCACCGACAAACTGGAGAGGCTCTTCCAGGAGGTGGGTGACACTATGGGTGCACCTCAATAGTGTAAAGTGGTTACCTTTCCTTGTGTCCTCTACTCCCATATTAATAATCTGGCATAATGAAGGAAAGTAGACGAGGAAAGGAAGCAATAAAGAGTACCTGCCCCACTTTAAAATACATCAACCTTTTACCATAGTAATAAGCGCAGTGTAATTACAATGTCGGTACACATTACTGCATAAGACTTTGTGATACAATCAAACAGATTCTTTCACCAAATGATTTGGTTTACAGTGCTCTCTTACCTCTACGGTATTCAAAGTAATTTTTGAAGCACTATTACAAATATAAATGTTCTGTATTGCTCAGCTTCATCTCCCGTCATGCAGGCTTGCTATGATAATCCCTCCCTCTTACTTAATGGTACTTCCAGTCCCAAGCACTGAGAAGCTCACAGGTCTGTATGAGATGTTGAGTGAGTGTGTTCTGTTTTGTTCTGTGTGTGTATAGTCCACGTCCCGGTCGGAGAGCCAGGAGGTGAACTTCATCAAAGAGCTGGTAAAGAAGATCCTCATCGTCATCGCCAGGCCAGCGCGCCTCCTGGAATGCCTGGTATGTCTCGCCTGAATGTTGCTAGTTAGCTACCAAGCACATGGCAATGACTTCTCACTGACACATATTACACTAATTATATTAGGGCCAGGAGTTTTTCCTGACCATGTGGTGTGACTAGGCAAATCTCTGGGCAATAATACTAAATATGTTTCTGTCCCATGGCTAATCAGAATTACCATGTAGCTCTATCTAAACTAGGTTTGAAGAGGTATGTGAGGCATTTGACACACATCACATCCATGTCTCTGTTGTATAAAGAGGCTTGCGACCTGGTGACAAGCCATACAGATGCAATACATCCTCCTCTCGCTGCTGCTATTGATTGTTACATTGACATCACTGTCAACCCAAAGAAAAGCCAACAGCACTCAGACAATTCCTATTGAAACTTCAAAACTAAGAGTTCCAGAAGTGTTGTAGTGAAACCTGTGTCCCTGTGTTGTCCTTTCCTCAGGAGTTTGATCCAGAGGAGTTCTACCATCTGTTGGAGGCTGCCGAGGGTCACGCCAAAGAGGGCCAAGGCATCAAGACTGACATCCCCCGCTACATCATCAGCCAGTTGGGGCTCACACGGGACCCCCTGGAAGGTATGTCAGGTTTGACCTTTTAAGAGTTGGGCAGGTAGACGGTGCCTAAACCATCATGAGTGGAGGTGCAACCAAACATCACACATTCAGAATGAAACAAGTGCTTTCTGCTGAAAGCTGCAAGGGCTATGAACTAATTCCAGTGGTGGACTGCATTATTCAAGTAATCAAGAAGTTTCTGAATATGTAGAAAATAACTTTTGTTTCATGATATAAAACCTAAGATGTGCTAACCTTGATATTCATGCTCTACTGATGCCACTGGCTACTTTCCAATTGTTCACCCTTCTCCCAAAGTGTACACACCCCCTCATTGATTTAAAAGGAACGGGCTGGTGTGAGGAATATGGTGGAAACTCCCTCCAGCCATGCTTGCACCAATCCAATGCTTTTAACAGGATTCGTACAGTCATGGAAATCCTGGAAAAGTCATGGAATTTCAAAATGTTTTGGAAAATGATCCAATCTGAAACGTTTTGGAAAAGTCATGGAAATGTATTTCATAATTTCTCTTAATGTAATTGTTTTAGGCACAGTTGAATTTTTAAAAATCAATTAAATAAAAATCAACAGATAAGCCAGGATTGGTATGCACTTTAGCAAGTCTGTGATTGCGCACATCACCTGCATGAGAAGCTGCACCAGCTTGACCACCCTTGATTACGCCCTTGATTACATAACATTACAAACAAAAAATATTTAATGCCTTTTGAAATAATTCGCTCATTCAATATATCAAAGATATATTTTTTTATCTTTGATATATTGAATGAGCGAATTATTTCAAAAGGCATAAAATGTATTTGGTTCAAATGTTATACAGCAAGGGTGGTCAATCATCCTCCAGGAGAGCTAATGGGTGTTCAGGCTTTTATTCCTGTCCCCCTCTAACAAACCACATTTGAGAAATTAGCTGATCAACTGAACCTTGATAAACTGGCTTTGATGTGTTTGAGCAGGGCTTTATCAAAAGCCTGCACACCAGTGGTGGTCGGTGCCATTTAAGATGAGGGAGGATGATTATTTATTTTATGAGCATTGCCTTATTTCTATTACAGCATATTGGATGACTGTCATTCATATTCCATTCACCCAGTTCAATGTAACATCGATAGGTTTAGGCTACTACATGATACTCAAATTTTCCCTATACCCATCATGCGGTTGCTACAATCTAGCCTATGAATAAAAGTTTACAATGTAGGTGCACACAGGTCGAGAGAAAGATTTGAAGTGACAGACCTTGACACATTCAATACCGTCTTGAACACTCATGGCAGCATCTAGCTAGTTTTAAACGTTCCGTTTGCTTCCCTTTAAGAAACGTTTTTCAACAGAATCGGTGGAATGAATACACCCCTGATCACACGCAAACAGTTCACTTTCATAGCCACATACAAACAGCTCGTTGTATTCCTTCTCGCATCTACGCGCTCTCCTCCTCTCAACTTTTCCTTTCGCTTGTGGACTTCAATGCACAACACATCAGCTGTCTGTGACCAGGCGAAAAAACCTTGCCAAGCCTTCATATCCGCTACCCACAGCCTATATCGTTGTCACCATATTAGCTAACGTCAAGTCAACATAGCTACTAGAACTAACGCGTTAGTAAACCCGCTACAATCATGCAGTAAGTCAGTAAGCAGTTTGGCTGTTACACCGGCGGGCCACGGTGGCAATAAATTAATAAAACCAAAAGCTTACCTTGACTTGGAAGGGTTCCAATGTTGGATAGTCATAGCCAGCTAGCTAACAAAGTATCCCTCTGTTTGAGCCGGGTGTTTGAGTAGGCTAAACTAGCTAGCTGAATTTGCTAACTAAGTAAGTGAAAGTGTTTTTTTTTTCTCTAAATATAGCTAGCTCTCTTTCTCTCTCGCTCCTTCATTTTTGAAGAAATTATTTATATTTGAGTCAACTACTCAGCACATTTTATGCACTGCAGTGCTAGCTGTAGCTTATGCTTTCAGTACTAGATTAATTATCTGACCCTTTGATTGGGTGGACAATATGTCAGTTCATGCTTGTCATAAAACACCCATGCATACCCCACAAAACACACCCATGCATACCCCACAAGACATGCCACCAGAGGTCTCTTCACATTCCCCAAATCCAGAACAGACTATGGGAGGCGCGCAGTACTACATAGAGCCATGACTACATGGAACTCTATTCCACATCAAGTGACTCATGCAAGCAGTAAAATTTGATTTAAAAAAAAGATAAAAATACACCTTATGGAACAGTGGGACTGTGAAGAAACACAAACACTGGCACAGACACACATGATAAGACACGCACTCTACACACACGTACACATGGATGTTGAATTGTAAATATGTGATAGTGGAGTATTGTCCTGAGGGAAAACACTAAATGTATTGGGTAAAGTGTTATGAAATGTAATGTCATGTAATATTTTAAATTGTGTATAACTGCCTTAATGTTGCTGGACACCAGGAAGAGTAGCTGCTGCCTTGGCAACAGCTAATGGGGACCCTTAAATACAAAAATACAAAATAATTACTGTGCAAGTCTATGTAAGGTGGTGAGAACTATGAGCCTCCTAGGTTTTGTATTGAAGTCAATGTACCCAGAGTAGGACAGAAGCTAGCTGTCCTCCGGCTACACCATAGTGCTACCCTTCAGAGTGCTGTTGAGGCTACTGTAGACCTTCATTGCAAAACAGTGTGTTTTAATCAATTAATTGGTGAGGTGAATAGATTTTGTAAAGTTTTATCTAAAAAGGATAACTTTTTAAATGTTTCACTTTTTATTTGTATGAAATTAACTGAGGAGGATGGTCCTCCCTCCTCTGAGGAGCCTACACTGCTGCACACACAGTAGCTCTCCAGACCAGTGGTGTGTATTCATGGATGCCAAGGGAAGCAAGGCTTCCCCAAAAGATTGACCAAGAAAAAAACATATAAAATAATTTTTCGTCTCTCTTTCATAATCAAAACAGTCAAAACAGTTCGCTGCTCTGGCACCCCAATGGTGGAACAAGTTCCCTCACGACGCCAGAACAGCGGAGTCACTGACCACCTTCCGGACACACTTGAAACCCTACCTCTTTAAGGAACACCTGGGATAGTATAAAAGTAATCCTTCTACCCCCCCTACCCCCCCTACCCCCCTCCCCCCCAAAAATAATTATATATATATATATATATATATATACACACACACACACACACACACAGTGGGGAAAGAAGTATTTAGTCAGCCACCAATTGTGCAATTTCTCCCACTTAAAAAGACGAGAGAGGCACACGTCATCATAGGTACACGTCAACTATGACAGACAAATTGAGAAGAAAAAAAATCCAGAAAATCACATTGTAGGATTTTTAATGAATTTATTTGCAAATTATGGTGGAAAATAAGTATTTGGTCACCTACAAACAAGCACAATTTCTGGCTCTCACAGACCTGTAACTTCTTCTTTAAGAGGCTCCTCTGTCCTCCACTCGTTACCTGTATTAATGGCACCTGTTTGAACTTGTTATCAGTATAAAAGACACCTGTCCACAACCTCAAACAGTCACACTCCAAACTCCACTATGGCCAAGACCAAAGAGCTGTCAAAGGACACCAGAAACAAAATTGTAGACCTGCACCAGGCTGGGAAGACTGAATCTGCAATAGGTAAGCAGCTTGGTTTGAAGAAATCAACTGTGGGAGCAATTATTAGGAAATGGAAGACATACAAGACCACTGATAATCTCCCTCGATCTGGGGCTCCACGCAAGATCTCACCCCGTGGGGTCAAAATGATCACAAGAACGGTGAGCAAAAATCCCAGAACCACACGGGGGGACCTAGTGAATGACCTGCAGAGAGCTGGGACCAAAGTAACAAAGCCTACCATCAGTAACACACTACGCCGCCAGGGACTCAAATCCTGCAGTGCCAGACGTGTCCCCCTGCTTAAGCCAGTACATGTCCAGGCCCGTCTGAAGTTTGCTAGAGTGCATTTGGATGATCCAGAAGAGGATTGGGAGAATGTCATATGGTCAGATGAAACCAAAATAGAACTTTTTGGTAAAAACTCAACTCGTCGTGTTTGGAGGACAAAGAATGCTGAGTTGCATCCAAAGAACACCATACCTACTGTGAAGCATGGGGGTGGAAACATCATGCTTTGGGGCTGTTTTTCTGCAAAGGGACCAGGACGACTGATCCGTGTAAAGGAAAGAATGAATGGGGCCATGTATCGTGAGATTTTGAGTGAAAACCTCCTTCCATCAGCAAGGGCATTGAAGATGAAACGTGGCTGGGTCTTTCAGCATGACAATGATCCCAAACACACCGCCCGGGCAACGAAGGAGTGGCTTCGTAAGAAGCATTTCAAGGTCCTGGAGTGGCCTAGCCAGTCTCCAGATCTCAACCCCATAGAAAATCTTTGGAGGGAGTTGAAAGTCCGTGTTGCCCAGTGACAGCCCCAAAACATCACTGCTCTAGAGGAGATCTGCATGGAGCAATGGGCCAAAATACCAGCAACAGTGTGTGAAAACCTTGTGAAGACTTACAGAAAACGTTTGACCTGTGTCTTTGCCAACAAAGGGTATATAACAAAGTATTGAGAAACTTTTGTTATTGACCAAATAATTATTTTCCACCATAATTTGCAAATAAATTCATTAAAAATCCTACAATGTGATTTTCTGGATTTTCTTTTCTCATTTTGTCTGTCATAGTTGACGTGTACCTATGATAAAAATTACAGGCCTCTCATCTTTTTAAGTGGGAGAACTTGCACAATTGGTGGCTGACTAAATAGTTTTTTCCCCCACTGTGTATATATATATATAAAACAAATGGAAATTAAAAATATACTCTAGAAACAAAAAACATAATATATTTAAAATAAAAAAATAGAATATTGAAAAGTGGTTGTCCCACTGGCTATCATAAGGTGAATGCACCAATTTGTAAGTCGCTCTGGATAAGAGCGTCTGCTAAATGACGTAAATGTAAAAGTATAATTTCCCTTCAATTTGCAAGAGGCAGAATGTATCTCACCGGAGAAAGCATCCGAGCGAGCGACGCAGTGCCCCTCGGTCTCTGTATGTGTAGACTATCTATCTGATGCGGTCTAGTCAAAAAGAGTATGACATTGTATGCAAGGGAAGCCAGCTAGCTATTGGCCTCCCTTGATTAATTTTTTAAATAAAATAATAGCCAATCAGCGTTGAGCTAAACTGAGTGAGCTCAACTGTGAATGGTCCTAGCGCACCAAAAAAAAAGTGTCAAGGGAAGATAGTTTGGATTTGGCTTCACTCCAATCACATCACATCGAGAGCAATACCTCATTGACAGAAAGAACTTGAATTGTTGCATCTCGTTGTGTTGTCCTCCGGTGGCTGGCTGGCTAGCTAGCTAGCTAAAATTGGCCCTTTCCTAAATTAACCATGGATGGAGATAGGGATTTGGACTTGTAGTTTTACTTAATTCTCCGTAAGCCAATTATTGTAGCGGCGATTCTGATCCAACCATAAATTCATACATTGTGCCCCTGGCCTGAGAGGATGGAAGTTCAATATGTAGCTAGATGTAGAAGGCTCATGTTAACTAGCTAACGTTGCACATGAAAGGAAGTTAGGCTAGCATTTTAGCCAGGTAGCCTAGGACAACAAAAAATTTAAGCATGTACTGTATGACAGAGCCATAGACCGTATTGTCAACATGAAAGAGAGGAGGATGGCATTGCCGTTGGCATTTCTCTACAAGTAGGGTGAGTTGTGTTTTTTCGACTTGCATGCACGCACACACACACGCAAATCGGAACCATGGACAGCCACATCATATTTAGCTTACGTTGATTGGACTAAATAGTTTTTGGTACCCTAGTTGTCACTGTATTAGACTAAGCATAGATGATTTTATGATTTTGTAATGTTGAAGTTGAAATAGTGGAGGCAGCTTCTGTTTTCTTTGCGACTTGCGGTAACTCTCCGTATTTCTAAATCAATAGTTGTTTAGTAGTGCGAAAATGTTGCAAACATTAACTTGCTTGACGATGCTGTAGGTCATGTAACTGTTTTTATTTTATTGTTTCAGCCTTAGGCCTATATATCACGGTTGCAAGGCATATGAACTAACAGGATTTTTTCTGGGTTGGCTTCCCCAGTATTTCTATTTATTATGGATCCCCATTAGCTGCTGCCAAGGCAGCAGCTACTCTTCCTGGGGTCCATCAAAATTAAGGCAGTTCATACAATTTTAAAAACATTACAATACATTCACAGATTTCACAACACACTGTGTACGTGTGTGTGTAGTGCGTATGTTATTGTGTGTGTATGCATGTGCCTGCACCTATGTTTGTTGCTTCATAGTCCCCGCTTTTCCATAAGGTGTTTTTTAAATCTAAATTTACTACTTGCATCAGTTACTTGATGTGGAATAGAATTCCATGTAGTCATGGCTCTATGTAGTACTGTGCGCCTCCCATAGTCTGTTCTGGACTTGGGGACTGTGAAGAGACCTCTGGTGGCATGTCTTGTGGGGTATGCATGGGTGACCGAGTTGTGCACCAGTAGTTCAAACGGACAGCTCGGTGCATTCAACATGTCAATACCGCTCATAAATACAAGTAGTGATGAAGTCAATCACTCCTCCACTTTGAGCCAGGAGAGATTGACATTAATATTAGCTACTGTTGTATCAATATGTTTTGACCATGACAGTTTACAATCCAGGGTTACTCCAAGCAGTTTAGTCACCTCAACTTGCTACATTTCCACATTATTTATTACAAGATTTAGTTGAGGTTTAGGGTTTAGTGAATTATTTGTCCCAAATACAGTGTTTTTAGTTTTAGAAATATTTAGGACTAACTTATTCTTTGCCACCCACTCTGAAACTAACTGCAACTCTTTAAGTGTTGCAGTCATTTCAGTCGCTGTAGTAGCTGACATGTATAGTGTTGAGTCATCCGCATACATAGACACACTGGCTTTACTCAAAGCCAGTGGCATGTCATTAGTAAAGATTGAAAAAAGTAATGGGCCTAGACAGCTGCCCTGGGGAATTCCTGATTCTACCTGGATTATGTTGGAGAGGCTTCCATTAAAGAACACCCTCTGTGCTCTGTTAGACAGGTAACTCTGTATCCACAATATAGCAGGTGGAGTAAAGCCATAACACATACGTTTTTCCAGCAGCAGACTATGATCGATAATGTCAAAAGCCACACTGAAGTCTATCAAAACAGCCCCCACCATCTTTTTATCATCAATTTCTCTCAGCCAATCATCAGTCATTTGTGTAAGTGCTGTGCTTGTTGAATGTCCTTCTCTATAAGAATGCTGAAAGTTTGTTGTCAATTTGTTTACTGTAAAATAGCATTGTATCTGGTCAAACACAATTTTTTCCAATAGTTTACTAAGGGTTGGTAACAGGCTAATTGGTCGGCTGTTTGAGCCAGTAAAGGGGGCTTTACTATTCTTAGGTAGCGGAATGACTTTTGCTTCCCTCCAAGCCTGGGGGCACACACATTCTAGAAGGCTTAAATTGAAAATATGGCAAATAGGAGTGGCAATATCGTCCACTATTATCCTCAGTAATTTTCCATCCAAGTTGTCAGACCCCGGTGGCTTGTCATTGTTGATAGACAACAATAATTATTTCACCTCTTCCACACTCACTTTACGGAACACTTTACTTTCATAATTTGGTCAGATATACTTGGATGTGTAGTATCAGCAATGGTTGCTGGCATGTCATGCTTAAGTTTTCTAATCTTGCCAATGAAAAAAATCATTAAAGATGTGTAGTGATTTTACCCACGCACCGCTACTGCTCCAGACTGTGGGTTGACCACGTTTTTTTATACAGTTGCCTAACAGGTATTTTACTTTGTGGGGGGTTAAGTGCCTTGCACAATGACTGGAGATAGTACATGGGATCAGAGAGCAGCCTCTGTTTCGATACCACATATGCTTACGTTTTTTAATGTAAATAGAGATGCCGTCAATTGTTAGTCATGGAAATGTGGTGAAAAGTCATGAAATTCAATCTGTCAAAATGTGTATGAACCCTGTTTTAAATGAATGAGGGGTAGTGAATGAGTGCAAACTTCTGGAGAAAGGTACAGAATCGTAACGCAGCCATTGTATTGCATCCAATCACTTCTCGTGCTTTGTTCTCGAAGCACCTGTCAACGCTACATTGATGACCTGATGAGAATATGATAAGGATAATATTTATGATCGTGAATCTACTTCACCCAACCAGCTTCATCAGAACACTTCAGCCTAAATTGGTTTCTTGATCTCGTTTCAGTGGAGGAGAGGAGTCATCGGAAAATAATTTCACATTTTAATTAACGTTATGTTTCTTGTGAAACTCCCTCCGTAATGTACTGAGAGAAAATACTTCTATGATAATTGAAAAAATCCTAATTATGTTTTGGATATTGCGGTCTTTATTAACGTTTTGAAAGCATTGCCGGAGCAGAAAATCAGTTTTTAGAGAAGATGAATGACTTGTATTACTACTACAGAAGAACTAATACTAGAAGTACCAGCTACCCAATGACCAAAATATTGCATCAGCATTACAGGTAACTTTTCTAGCAATGCTAATATTGTACAAGATTAGAGAAGTTTTAAGACAAAGGTGGTGTGGAGTAATGTCATGTACTGAACTGACTGCCATCCTCTGGTCCTCTGTAGCTCAGCTGGTAGAGCACGGCGCTTGTAACGCCAAGGTAGTGGGTTCGAGCCCCGGGACCACCCATACACAAAAAAAAAAAATGTATGCACGCATGACTGTAAGTCGCTTTGGATAAAAGCGTCTGCTAAATGGCATTATTATTATTATTATTATTTAATGTGCCTCTCCTCTCTCCATTCAAACCCCAGTGTTCATTCTGACTAATTAGGAACGAATGGTCTCCCTATAGAGCTGAAACAGATCGACACACAGACTGGCTCACTAACCTCCGTCCTCATTGGCCAATGTCTCTCGACTCATTTCCCCTGGGCCTATCCTGTGTGTTTTTCTTGCCCAGTAGCCTGGAGCGCTGGAAGCAGCCTTCTAGGCAGGGACAAGATGCTAAGTTGCATTGGAAATGTGTTGGACGACCGAACAACCCCCTCCTGATTCGCTAGCTCCTGCTGTTCATACAGCGCTGATGGGAAGGGATGGACACACACGTGCATATGCGCATGTACATGCAAGACACACACACAGGAGTGTTCTGGAGTTGTGATTTTCTTAATGGATGTCCGACATGTGTTTGTGTTGCTGCCACTTCTGGTTTCCACCTCATTTCCTCTCCTTTAGGATTTCTCAGACTCCGCTCAACAGACTGATGTGTGTTAATATACAGTACTCCCTATAGGCTTTGACTAAATGTCGGGGTATAGATAAGACATCTGGATTCAAAGGGCACTGTTTTGTGTCTGAAGGTGAAAATGCTGAAATGGCAAAGTCGAATGAAATGCTGACGTTGTTCCTCTCTGTCCCGCACCTATAGAAATTGCTCAGATGACCAGTTATGATAGTGGGATCGCTGAAACACCCGAGACAGATGACTCTGTGAGTTTTCAGCATTTTTATTCAAGTTTTAATTGCAGGTTAGATGTATTTCAGTAGAATAAAGTTTCTCTCCTCTCGTCCTCCCAGTCCCAGAGTCTGAACGCGGCCCTGCGATCCCGACGAAAGCCCTGCGAGATGGACTTTGAGATGAACAAACTCATCAGCAACGGAGCCTACGGGTGAGAGCATCCTCTCTGGTGTCAGTCAGAACGGTTATGATGGAATCCTACTCTGTTTAAGCTGTTATTTAGGATTTTAATGGGATATGTAGTCCCGTGTAGCTCAGTTGGTAGAGCATGGCGCTTGCAACGCCAGGGTTGTGGGTTCGATTCCCACGGGGGACCAGTATGAAAATGTATGCACTGACTAACTGTAAGTTGCTCTGGATAAGAGCGTCTGCTAAATGACTAAAATGTAAATATGTGATTTGGATTTACTAAAAGGGAATCTTTCACTCATGTTTACCATCTCCAATTCATGGCCCTGTCCTGTTTTCTTCCTAAGCCATAAATAAGTCTGTACCGCGGGACTGACAATGTGTTCCCTCTCCAACAGAGCTATGAATGTGTGATTTCAATCCATCTTTATAGTGTACAGGTAACTGCCAAAATAAAGGAAAAACTTGAGTAAATGAGGAATACAAAGTATATTGAAAGCAGGTGCTTCCACACAGGTGTGCTTCCTGAGTTAATTAAGCAATTCAACTCCCATTATGCTTAGGGTCATGTATAAAAATGCCCAGTTGACCATTATTTTGGCTGCCATGATTGGAAGAAAAGATCTCAGTGACTTTGAAGGAGGTGTCTCAAAGGAGCATAGGGGGTTTAAATGGTGTGTGTCTCAGTCACCAGATCTCAACCCAATTGAACACTTATGAGAGATTCTGGAGCGGTGCCTGAGACTGCGTTTTCCACCGCCGTTAACAAAAAAACAAATGATGGAATTTCTTGTGGAAGAATGGTGTCGCCATAGAGATCCTATTATATTACTATTCTAATTCCTAATTATATGGGTGTCGCATCCCTCCAATAGGGTTCCAGACACTTGTAGAATGCCTAGGCGCATTGAAGCTGTTCTGGCGGCTTGTGGCCAACACCCTATTAAGATACTTTATGTTGGTGTTTTCTTTATTTTTGCAGCTACCTGTATATGACTAACAATGTCATTCTCTGACAGAGCAATATATGCTTGATTTACCTCAACCTGTACTGTGTGTCTGACATATTGTCTTCTCTTTCTCTCTCTCTGTGACAGGGCTGTGTATCTGGTGCGCCACAAGGAGACCAAGCAGCGCTTCGCCATGAAGAAGATCAACAAACAGAACCTGATGCTGAGGAACCAGATCCAGCAAGCCTTCGTGGAAAGAGACATCCTGACCTTCGCTGAGAACCCCTTCGTGGTCTCCATGTTCTGCTCCTTCGAGACGCGACGACACCTCTGCATGGTCATGGAGTATGTGGAAGGTAGGCAGCCATTTCTAATTCTTCTTTCTTACGGTACCAAAACTGTGGAAGACAGAAAGCTCACACCTGGGGGGATAAACTGCTCTAGAAATACTGGTTAATGTTGTTCTGCCCTATTATTTTCCAAATGTATTAACAAATTTTGTGTTGGGATTAATCATATGTCGAAAGTACTTCATTGTAGGATACAGTATTTTAATGTCAGAATTAACTCAGTAAGCCAATTCTCTGTGTCTGTATGCCATTAGGAGGTGACTGTGCCAACCTGCTGAAGAACATGGGCCCCCTGCCTGTGGACATGGCCAAGATGTACTTTGCTGAGACGGTGCTGGCACTGGAGTACCTCCACAACTATGGCATAGTCCACAGGGACCTCAAACCAGACAAGTCAGTCTCTAATATCTCTATAGTATATTCAGCTACTGAGAATGTAGATAGATATAGCCTGATCTCAGATCTGTTAGTGCTGTCTTACCATGGTAAGACAACACATGTCATAGGAGTTGGCAAGACCGCATGAACAGATCTGGTAAGACACCCTTCAGACTGCTGATCTTTGCGTTTTTAAAATAGTCACTTGGGTCATTGATGTCTATCAATCACATTTATTTTATAAAGCCCTTCATACATCAGCAGTTGTCACAAAGTGCTTTACAGATACCCAGCCTAAAACCCCAAAGAGCAAGCAAAGCCGATGCAGAGGCACATATGTCATTAATCTACTTATCGTACCAACTGAGCGAGATTTGGAGATCTATCTTCATTGGCTTCTATGTGATGGTTGTGTCGTTCTCCCCCCCCCCCCCCCCCCCCCCCCCAGTCTGTTGGTGACCTCCATGGGCCACATCAAGCTGACAGACTTTGGGCTGTCCAAGGTGGGCCTGATGAACATGACCACTAACCTGTATGAGGGACACATAGAGAAGGACGCCCGAGAGTTCTCTGATAAACAGGTACAGTGTGTGGAGATGGATTGGCATTCTACCTACAGTATAGGCCAGTCTTTCTCGCTCATTTATAGTTTCTCATAATTAAAACAAGCAAGCAGAGAGAACATGACAGTTATGGTATCCAGTTTGAACACTGTTCGAAGAGCTCAGATTGTGAATACCTACAGCTTTCAGGTTTTTCTTTTTCAAATAGGACATTTTCAAGCCGCAACGTTTCACCAAAACATACTACTAGTATAATGTGTCTATACCTGTTGCCTTCTGTCTGTGTGTAGGTGTGTGGGACCCCAGAGTACATCGCTCCAGAGGTAATCCTGAGACAGGGCTATGGGAAGCCAGTGGACTGGTGGGCCATGGGCATCATCCTCTATGAGTTCCTGGTGGGTTGCGTACCCTTCTTTGGAGACACACCGGAAGAACTGTTTGGACAAGTTATCAGTGGTCAGTTTTACTCTTATCTCTTTTTGAGTTGACATTTGGGGCGAATCCAAAGTTCCAATTAAGTCGAAATTTCACTTCCCATTGACATCAATGCATGACTAAGTAGGAGAAAAGTCTGATGGCCTTTATCCCCAGTGAATAGGAAAGATTGGCAATATCTAATTAAACAGTATGGAATGGATGGTGCCAATCTATCCAATTTATTTGGGATCAAGGCATGTTATGCACAAAACAGATGGTGTGGGATGTGGACTCAGCTCGACATTAGAACAAAATACATTTCTCCAATTTATGAAAACGTCCTTCCTTATGGCTGTTGTGTTCAAGCCTTTTTACATTTACAGCACATTATGCTGAATAAAGAAATAAGACCTTTAAAAATGTCAGCAGTGGAAATTCTTAGAGAGAAGAGTCTTTACAGTATACAGAGAACCTCAGAGTGCCCCCTTTATCTATCCTATGAAAATTAATGGTGTGCAATGACAGATGTGGTGTGCTCTATATCATGCCAAATTCCTTACGGACATTGTTTTCTAGCCATTTTAAGTGTATAGCACAGACATGGTGTATTCGCCTACTTGTTCTATGCAACGAATAAGAAAAAATAGTTTAAAATGTCAGCATGTTCTTAGAAAACTGATCCTCTACACAGAACCCCGATCTATCCTATGTTAATTAATGTGGTGCCATGACAGATTTGGTGTGCTCTCCATCATACCAGGCCATAGGGACCCAGTGTTAATTAAAGGGCTCTGAACACACTGAGCTGAATGCCACGCTGCTCGGGCCTGAGGGCCATCATGCATATTCATGCCTCACTCCCAAATTTGATTAAAATGGGGGCCACATTGCGCCAAAGAGACAACCGTGGCATGGCACAGACTCTACTGGTGTGGCGCACACTGGTATTTTTCAACTGTTGCTAACGGTCTACACCGGTCAAACACGCATGAACAGACTCACACAGACACATTGAGGTACACACACAAACATGGATAACACATTATTCTAGTACTGGAGAACAGACACTCATGAATTTCATTTCTCATCCTTGAGGGAGTGAAGGTCGCCAATTTCCAAATGTAATGATGTGAATAATAAACAATATGCCCTTTGTCTGAGGAAGTGCTGAATAGCATGCATTAATCAGATTATTTACATTTATTATTGTGGGACTGTTAAAACTGTGGCTAACTGCTAGATAACTCAGTATGTGTTGTCTATGGGATATTGCTAACTGCTAGCTAACTCAGTATGTGTTGTCTCTGGGATATTGCTAACTGCTAGCTAACTCAGTATGTGTTGTCTCTGGGATATTGCTAAGTGCTAACGAACTGAGTATGTGTTGTCTCTGGGATATTGCTAGCTGCTAGATAACTCCGTATGTGTTGTCTCTGGGATATTGCTAACTGCTAGCTAACTCAGTATGTGTTGTCTCTGGGATATTGCTAACTGCTAGCTAACTCAGTATGTGTTGTCTCTGGGATATTGCTAACTGCTAGCTAACTCAGTATGTCTTGTCTCTGGGATATTGCTAACTGCTAGCTAACTCAATATGTGTTGTCTCTGGGATATTAATAAGTGCTAACAAACTGAGTATGTGTTGTTTCCCAGATGAGATCAACTGGCCGGAGGGAGAGGACGCTCCCCCTGCTGACTCCCAGGAACTGATCACCCTGCTACTCAGACAGAACCCTCTGGAGAGGATGGGCACAGGTAGGCATAAGTTGTGCACAACACATGCCACACACAAATACAATTTTCACACTACTGAGCCAAGCTGTACTGGGCTGGCCTGGTATCGGACAATGTATAAAGAAGATACCTAAGTCAGCAGAGTACAGTTCTGGCACAGTTATGTGGGTTACTTTTAGTTTGTTGAAACTCAGCACAGGGCACAAATGAACCTTTTTACTGTTAAGAGGTTGAAGGTGTTCAAAAGTTTACAACCAGTTATGACCTACCAGGGAGCATTCTCTCCCCTCAGTTAAAATAGTCCAGTTACAGACAGTGGTATATTGCCATAACTCTCCATGTTCCTTCTCATCACAGTGCATTATTTAAACATACGGGGGGATAAATGGGGTCAACCAAATAGGCGGAACAGTTTATCACATAACCACGCTGCCTTATGAATGGGCCCCCTCATGAATGCCGACCTGGACAAGGTCACACATCATCAGCGTCTGCGGATCGTAAACATTGTCCCTGACTGGAGACCACGGGCCGCCCACTTTTTGACTACGTCTAAAATGGCACCCTATTCTCTATATAGCCCATAGGGCTCTGGTCAAAAGTAGTGCACAATATAGGGAATAGTGGGCCATTTAGGGTGCAGACTTTGTCTCCTGCATAGCAGATTCAATCTAATCAGGTTACACAGGACTGCATTCATCAGAGCCAATCCCCCGGGTCGGGTCGAACCATTCAGCAGGCGGCCCTCCGTCTCTTCCTCAAAGGTCACCGGCAGGAAATTGCACTGCATAATTTATGGCCGGTGATACGACTGTTGGGTGCCGGCCAATGATAAAGCGAGGAAGAAATGTTAGCGTCTGCACTTCTTCCTTTTGTGTTGGGGCAGTGGCACCACTGTACAATGTCAACCTTTATCTTATGTGTGCAAGATATCTTTGTGAGTGTCTGTATGTATATGCATGTGTTCATAATGTGTACTGTATGTCCATCCATCCTTAGGTGGTGCATATGAGGTGAAGCACCACCAATTCTTCCACACTCTGGACTGGGACAGTCTGCTGAGACAGAAAGCTGAGTTCATCCCTCAGCTGGAGTCCGAGGACGACACTAGCTACTTCGACAGTGAGTCTTCTTCCTGCTCTCAAAATGTACACTAACCTATATTATAGAATACAGCCACTTTGAAAGTGAAATTTAGGAAAGATGGTGACTGTTTTATCCCCACAGCTCGATCAGATAGGTACCATCACCTGGAGACAGAGGAGGAAGAGGAGGATACCAATGATGAAGACTTCAACGTGGAGCTACGTCAGTTCTCCTCCTGCTCTCACAGATTCTCCAAGGTGGGTTGTCATTCTTTCTCTTTGTACTTTCTCTCTCGGTCTCTCTCACTCTCTCTCTCTCTCTCTAAATTACAAAACATTCGCTCAAGGCATTACTGCTCACTCACTTCCATATCACTCCATATGATTGAAAAACAGTGGTGGATCAATGAGGTAGTTACCTTCAACATAAAATGTATGTAGTTCATACAAATATCTGCAATGCTTTCAATGAAAACCCAACATGATTGATTTGTTATCATATGGAAAAGACTATCGTTTGGTCCATAAAACAACCTTTGCATCTTTCCCCCCAACCCCCTGCAGCATGTTATGTAGAGCTCGGCTTTGCATACATTTTCTGCTGCAAATCAGATCTATTTTGGTAGAACGTAGAACACAATGCAAACACACACACAGAGACTTGCACGCATTGTTGTGCTGCATTGCAGTACGCTAAGCCTCTGAAAATAATGCACAAAGTGCCTTCGAAGGCGGGAGAATGTCTCAGAGGAAGAGTTTTTGTTCTGTTACCTACCTAGATCTTTTTGAATTTTTGTTACCCACCTGTTTTTTGTACACAGCCTGGTAGTCTAACCAGTGGCTGCTGCCACTATTTTGGAACCACTGACTAGTTTCTATGGTATCAGACTCTGTGTCCCAATACTGAAGGGATATATTGATGAAAGTGATGGTGTTTAGGTGTAGTAATCTTGTCCTCCATGAGGACAGTCTGTAAGGTCTCTGTCTGTGTGTCTGTCCCTGCATGGTGTTCAGGTATGTAGCCCTTTACACTCGTACCCATATACGGGTTGAAAATGGCAGATTTGGTTACTGATAAACAACTATATTGGAACGCAGTGGCAGTACAGTAACATGCTATACAAGAGGGCTGTGACTATACCAGTATCACACAAAGCAGTTCAAACTCTTTGGTCCTTTAAAAACCTGCTGTATGGAAAGTATTGTGTGCTTATACTTTGGAAAATAAATACATGTGACTCTGGATGACAACATAATGATGTTTGTTTCCAACATTAGGGCTGTTTTCCTAAAGAAGTTAAATCCGCTTCGTGTTTTGTTTCCTTGCCACAATACTAACGAGTATCGCAATACTGGTATCGTCCTGGCCTTACTATACATAACTTAACAGCTCTGTATGGGTTTTGACTGACAACCGTTCTGAACTTGAGCACGTCGCGCGACAAGAAGTTGCCCCCATCCCTCCCTCTAATTGGGCAACTTTTGCAAATGTTTTGTTGTATGAGTGAAGGAAATGCTGTAAATTTAAGAGGACTTGATGTATTTTGAAAGATGTTGAGGATTATAATAAATACCGCTTTGATGTGATACAAGCAAGCCAAACATACATTGAGTCCAAATGTGCACTTTACATTTCCATATCATAACTCATGTCATATACAGTGTCAACGTTTATGATTACTATGTTTGATGTACAGTTACAAGATGACATGTCGTCATATCCTGTTTTTTCTGAACAGAATGAGCCTATTGCGAAGAAAATTTGCCGCGGCACGCGCACCTTAATGCACTCATGACTCCTTTCTGTGCGCACCAAAATTATGATGCGTTTCCCTGAATTGCATCGTGAAAGCCTAAAACTGTACAATCTTATTTTATAACTTAGCTAGTCATGTTGGCAATAGAACAGGCTTTCAAATTATGCCCACCTGACCCATATTGCGATTTCTAATGGATAATTGTGTGATGGCGAGGATGCAGGGTTGTGTTCCAAACAAAAGAACTACAAGTGCACTTGCTCTGGTTCAAGTGTCAAACTCATTCCATGGAGGGCTGAGTTTCTTAATGTTTTCGCTCCTCCCTTGTACTTGATTTGATGAATTATGGTCACTAATTAGTAAAGAACTCCCCTCACCTTGTTGTCTAGGTCTTAATTGAAAGGGAAAAACCAAAAAGCTGCAGACACTAGGCCCTCTATGGAATGAGTTTGACACTCCTGCTCTAGTTCCTTAACGACACAGCTAAGAGAAAGAAAATACACTGCTAAAAAAAATAAAGGGAACACTTAAACAACACAATGTAACTCCAAGTCAATCACACTTCTGTGAAATCAAACTGTCCACTTAGGAAGCAACACTGATTGACAATGCATTTCACATGCTGTTGTGCAAATGGAATAGACAACAGGTGGAAATTATAGGCAATTAGCAAGACACCCCCAATAAAGGACTGGTTTTGCAGGTGGTGACCACAGACCACTTCTCAGTTCCTATGCTTCCTGGCTGATGTTTTGGTCACTTTTGAATGCTGGCGGTGCTTTCACTCTAGTGGTAGCATGAGACGGAGTCTACAACCCACACAAGTGGCTCAGGTAGTGCAGCTCATCCAGGATGGCACATCAATGCGAGCTGTGGCAAGAAGGTTTGCTGTGTCTGTCAGCGTAGTGTCCAGAGCTTGGAGGCGCTACCAGGAGACAGGCCAGTACATCAGGAGACGTGGAGGAGGCCGTGCAGCAGGACCGCTACCTCCGCCTTTGTGCAAGGAGGAGCAGGAGGAGCACTGCCAGAGCCCTGCAAAATGACCTCCAGCAGGCCACAAATGTGCATGTGTCTGCTCAAACGGTCAGAAACAGACTCCATGAGGGTGGTATGAGGGCCTGACATCCACAGGTGGGGGTTGTGCTTACAGCCCAACACCGTGCAGGACGTTTGGCATTTGCCAGAGAACACCAAGATTGGCAAATTCGCCACTGACGCCCTGTGCTCTTCACAGATGAAAGCAGGTTCACACTGAGCACATGTGACAGACGTGACAGAGTCTGGAGACGCCGTGGAGAACTATCTGCTGCCTGCAACATCGTCCAGCATGACCGGTTTGGCGGTGGGTCAGTCATGGTGTGGGGTGGCATTTCTTTGGGGGGCCGCACAGCCCTCCATGTGCTCGCCAGAGGTAGCCTGACTGCCATTAGGTACCGAGATGAGATCCTCAGACCCCTTGTGAGACCATATGCTGGTGAGGTTGGCCCTGGGTTCCTCCTAATGCAAGACAATGCTAGACCTCATGTGTCAGCAGTTCCTGCAAGAGGAAGGCATTGATGCTATGTACTGACCCCCCCGTTCCCCAGACCTGAATCCAATTGAGCACATCTGGGACATCATGTCTCGCTCCATCCACCAACGCCACGTTGCACCACAGACTGTCGGCGGATGCTTTAGTCCAGGTCTGGGAGGAGATCCCTCAGGAGACCATCCGCCACCTCATCAGGAGCATGCCCAGGCGTTGTAGGGAGGTCATACAGGCACGTGGAGGCCACACACACTACTGATCCTCATTTTGACTTGTTTTAAGGACATTACAGCAAAGTTGGATCAGCCTGTAGTGTGGTTTTCCACTTTAATTTTGAGGGTGACTCCAAATCCAGACCTCAATGGGTTGATACATTTGATTTCCATTGATCATTTTTGTGTGATTTTGTTGTCAGCACATTCAACTATGTAAAGAAAAAAGTATTTCATAAGATTATTTCATTCATTCAGATCTAGGATGTGTTATTTTAGTGTTCCCTTTATTTTTTGAGCAGTGTAGTTTAAGACTTCCTTGAGTCTTAAAGGTGCATCAAAATTACTTAGCACACTTTGGAGAGGTGTGGCCACTTGGAGACACCAGTTAGTCCTCTCATCAAACCCTTGTAATTTATTTGTCTTATGTTGCACATACCCCACATTATCCAGGAATATTCTTATGTTACTGAATGTATCCAGAGCATTTTCAGATTTCATTATCAACAAATGTGGCTAAAAGTACAGTAAATGTAAAATGCTAATAAAATCAAGTGTAATGTTTCGATTCAGTCTTGTCAGGTGAACTTTTGTCCTAAACTTTGGTGTAATAATTTTCCCATAATCTCCAAACTGTTCCCTTTCAATTGCTACCATTGTTATGCATATGCTTTTCTTCTGTAAGAAACATTTCAATTTAGCCCTATCCATATAGGACAATTCCGACATGTAAAGGATGAACTGTCTGTGTGGTGTGTAGGTGTACAGCAGCTTGGACCTGTCCCGTGGCCAGCTGGAGGAGAAGGGAGAGACGGAGGAGAAGAAGAGTGAGAGCCCTCTGACTGTAGACTCTCTGAGCTGGACACCAGAGTTCACTGAAATGTAATCTCCACAACATCCCTTCTGTAATATTCAAATTATCTGTTTTCACACACGTTTGGTACACTATTATTTAAGTTTGCCACTATTGCAAGGTCTCAGAATACATTAAGACAAAGATGGCAATGCATAACCCGCTTATATTAACCCAATTCATCAGTACAACATCTATAATACAGTTAGCTGATGGTGCTTGATATTTATCCATTCCTCCTTTCTCCCCCCAGGCCCTCCCTCTCCCATTCCTCAGACACCGAGAGCCCCAGCATGGGCCCTCGCCCACCCGGCCTGCTCCCCAAGTTTGCCATCTCGGCCGAGGACGGAGACGAGGAGTCCCTGGTCCTGGGGGACCCCACCAAGTTGGCCTTCTCCATAGGAGAGGATGATGCTGACGCAACCACCCCCGGGAGCACCCACAGCGGGGCTACCCTCTCTGGTATGGAGGCTTGGAGCACTGGTTAGCGCTGATAGAAGATATAGGGATAATGCTAAAGAATGGGCATCATGTTGGGTGTTGAAGACTGTGGTTCAGCTGATATTCAAGAGCAGAAAAGTAATGATATGGGTATTACGTGGAGTTGTTTCAATCTTTTTAATGTGCCTGACTAACTAAAAGAAATATGGGACATCTCTGACATTGTACCTGTTCTTTTTTTGGTAAGTAGGTAGTTTCTCTGAGCACCTGGACATGCATCCCTCTAGAGGGGAGGGTGTAGACAGCCCTGACTCCTCCTCCAAGACCCCCATGGACCTGGGAGGCCAGCATGGCAGCCTGCGGCCCGATAGACATGGGGAGAAGCATGGTGTTGTTGCCAAAGTCCCCAAGTCTATCTCAGCTAGCGCCCTCTCCCTCATGATCCCTGGAGGTGAGTCAGAGGATACACCCTACCCCTGCGATCTCCAGCATTTCGATTTAAGGATGGTTAGAGAGCAGGATGGGGAGGGAGAGCTAGCACAGAACAATGGACAGAGAGGAGTGTGAAAGAGATGAGGCCATTAGATCTGTGTGAAATTGGCCTGGCACGGCTCCTGCTGGGAAGAGGCTACAGTTTATGGAGTGGCTGTGAATGCAGTAGCGCAGAAGAGGAGCCTCTGAGGTAGTAGCTGAGAGATACGCACCCTAAGGGTAAATCCCTCAGGTCTCACTCCCAGCAGGGGCACAGTGATTCCAGGCTCCCAGGCTACTGAGGGGAGAGCTACAGGAAGACCGATCAATAGAAATTACAATAGCGGTCTTTGTATGTGTGTCTGTGTTTTAACCTTTAAATGAACCTCCACTGGGTATTTTGGTTTGAAGAATTGGAGAATTCACTCTAAAATTAGGATAAAAATGGATGGTGTGTTATTTAAAAACGTCTATGGCAACATTTATTTTGCTCTCACAATGTATCTGGCACATTCCCAGATTAGTCCCTTGATTGTATCACAATTACCACATTTTCCCTAGTAATAATGCCCTTCATTAATGTGTGTCTCTTAGTGATACAGATATCATTAGAATTGTCTTTCTCATTGTTCCAGATATCTCAAAGGCCCACTTTGTGAAATGTACAGCCGTATTTAGTCATTTTAAAATGATTTATATTTGTCTGTCTTGCTCCAGATATCTTCGGGGTGTCCCCACTGGCCAGCCCCATATCCCCTTACTCCCTCTCCTCGGACCCCTCCTCTCGTGACTCCTCACCCAGCCGAGACTCCTCCCTCGGCGTCATCAACCCTAGGCAGCCAATCATCATCCACAGCTCGGGGAAGAAGTTTGGCTTTACGCTGCGGGCCATCCCGGTGTATGCATGCGATCGTGATGTCTACACAGTCTACCACACAGTCTGGGTAAGAACTTTACTTTACTATACTTGACTGACTTTGTCCCCATGGGGAAATTTTGTTGCAGTGTCATGTAAACTCAGCAAAAAAAGAAACGTCCTCTCACTGTCAACTGCGTTTATTTTCAGCAAACTTAACGTGTACATTTTTGTATGAACATAACAAGACTTGTATGAACATAGTTTAGACCAAACTGAACAAGTTCCACAGACATGTGACTAACAGAAATTGAATAATGTGTCCCTGAACAAAGGGGGGGGGGTCAAAATAAAAAGTAACAGTCAGTATCTGGTGTGGCCACCAGCTGCTTTAAGTACTGCAGTGCATCTCGTCCTCATGGACTGCACCAGATTTGCCAGTTCTTGCTGTGAGATCTTACCCCACTCTTCCACCAAGGCACCTGCAAGTTCCCGGACATTTCTGGGGGGAATGGCCCTAGCCCTCACCCTCCGATCCAACAGGTCCCAGACGTGCTCAATGGGTACAGGGGGTGGCTTGGGTCTAAAATTATTTTGGGAGCCTTTTTGGAGGGCCTTGACCTTAAAGATCTCATCCAGGCCTGTCTGTTTGACTCCAAGTACCTTGCTTGCTGTGGTGATAATCCTTCTCATCATATTTCTCTGGCTGACAGTGGCATTGCCAAACCAACAAACAATACAAAAGTTAAAATACTCAGAGTCAGTTTAGTACAGTTAACATAAAAAAAATCCCTGCTTTTTGAGAAAGTACAGTCTCTGTTGACTCTTTTTGTAGATTAGGTCTGTACTTTTACTCCACTGAAGCTTTCTTGTCCAAGAGGACACCCAGATATTTGTATTCCTCTACAATCTCTATGTTCTGACATCTGATAGATGTTGCAGAGGAAGGTGTTGTACGCTTCATGAAGTCTATGCACATCTCTTTGGTCTTGTTGGTATTGAGAACCAAGTGTGATTGGTCACACCACTCTACAAAGTCATTTAGGACCAGGCCATGGTGTTCCACGTCATCATGCAACAGGCTGATCAAGGCAGTGTCATCAGCTAACTTAACAAGGTGTCTGTCAGGATGGGAACTAGTACAACTATTAGTGTACAAGATGTACAGGAGTGGGGACAAAACAAATCCCTGAGGAGAGCCTGTGTTGGTGGTGCGTATGTCTGACACGTGGGGACCTACTTTGACCCGCTGTGACCTCTGGCTCAGGAAGCCACAAAACCAGCCCCCCATCTAAGGAGAAGTCCCTTATGAGTCTCTGTGCCAGAATGTAAGGCTGGATTGTGTTGAAGGCAGAAGAAAAGTCAACATACAGAACCTGACATAAGGTTTGGTGCCCTCTAGACGTCTATAGACCATGTTGAGGAGAGGAAGAATGGCATCATCAACTCCTCTGCTCGGCTGATAGGCAAACTGAAACGGGTTGAGGTGCTTCTGGGTGATGTTGAGAATATGACTTTTCACAGTCTAACAAGCACAGTCTAATATCTAATGAAGCACTGGTAAAACAGTACACTTCTGTTGGTACAACAAGTAGTCACTTTCATCTGTGTTATTAGATATTGAGTAATAGGTCTAGTGGCTGTATTCAATTAAACCTGCACCATGGGAAAACAATGTTTTGTTTTTGTACTGCAATAATGTCTCATTACTGAGGGGTGATAGATACAGTAGCTAACAGTGTGTTTCTGTGTGTTGTTCAGAGCGTTGAGGACCCGGGTCCGGCCCACAAGGCAGGGCTGAAAGCTGGTGACCTCATCACTCATGTGAATGGAGAGACGGTCCACGGCCTGGTCCATACTGAGGTGGTGGAACTGCTGCTCAAGGTCAGAGAACCATTGGATATAAAGCTTTCATCAGATATAACTGATAGTAACAATTGTCCACCATTACGTCCACAAAAGGTTATGATGTAATCGTATAAGCATAAGGTATTTTAGTTTGTAACTTGATACTCTCATGATGGAGCTCATATATTTAAGCAATAAGGCCAGAGGGGGTGTGGTATATGGCCAATATACCACGGCTAAGTGCTGTGTCCAGGCACTCCGCGTTGGGTTCGTGCTTAAAAACAGCCCTTAGCCGTGGTATATTGGCCATACATCACAAACTCCCGAGATGCCTTATTGCTATTATAAACTAGTTACCAACGTAATTAGTTACCAAAATAAAAGTTTTGTCGTACCCGTGGTGTACGATCTGATATACCACGGCTGTCAGCCAATCATCATTCAGGGCTCGAACCACCCAGTTTATAATAGACTGTTTATCTAGCGGTAATTTAATTTATAGTCCAGCTCACTTTTTTAAATCTAATCCTGTTTGTAGCTTCATACTCTCACAATGGAGCTAATTCATTTTGGGCCAGTTTATTTGATGTATCTGTGTCTGCTTCCTTTCCAGAGTGGCAGTAGGGTAGCCATCTCCACCACTGCGTTTGAGAACACCTCCATCAAAACAGGGCCTGCCAGGAGGAACAGCTACAGGAGCAAGATGGTCCGACGCACCAAGAAGCCCAAGAAGGAGAAGACACAAGAAAGGCAAGAATTTTGTGTTTGGTTTTGTTATTTTCTATACGAGAAACCATTTTGTTATTAGATATGAACCAATTAACTAAATCTCTGTAAGTCTGCTCTGTAGAGGTCGCTAGTAAACTTGTATATCTTCCATGGGTTCCATGTCCAGATTTTGTCATATACAGTATAACCACAGGGTGTAGCTGTGGCTCCTTGCAACAGTGCTAAAACTCCCTATGTCTGTCAGTGCTTGACAATGTCAACCCACATCACGTCAGTCTTAAGTTTTTAATTTCGAAGATCTTACTGTGGCTTTCCTTTTTCATTGACTGAATGGTTTTATTGATTACTCAGGAATATTATATACATTGTTATACCTCCATTTTAAGAACAATGATCATAGATGTCACAACAACACTACACATATCTATTTTCTACCTACAAAAATGGCATTTTCTATGGAAAATTTTTGCTTGGCCCTATAGGGGTGGACTGATTCAGTGTCTTCTCTCTTCTTTCCGCTCTTGGCCAGAACGCATATATAGTAATAACACAATTTTAAGGATAATTATCTTAGATTAGACCATCTAGAGTCTAGACCACAAATATAATCTAGTGAGTGCCTGGGCCTCATAGTGAAAGACTGACCATGTCTTCTCTCCTCTCTCCCTCCAGGCGACGGTCTGTGTTCAGGCGTTTTGCCATGCAGCCCTCCCCTCTGCTCCACACCAGCCGCAGTTTCTCCTCATTCAACCGCTCCCTGTCCTCTGGGGAGAGTCTCCCAGGTTCCCCTACTCACAGCCTGTCTCCCCGCTCCCCCACTGCAGCATTCCGGCCCACCCCTGACTTCAACCAGTCAGGTGAGATTAACCGTCTATAATTGTATTAATCAATAAAATACATGTGGTGTGTATCAGTAAAACAATCAATGTTTGTTAAATTAGGATGAATGTACAATATTTACCACTATAAAAGATTATTAGTTGAATAACGTCCTTCCCTCTGTGTTTCCAGGTGGCAACTCCTCTCAGAGTAGCTCCCCCAGCTCCAGTGCTCCAAACTCCCCCGCAGGCTCCGGCCATATCCGTCCCAGCACCCTCCACGGCCTGGGCCCCAAACTGACTGGCCAAAGGCTCCGACAGGGCCGTCGCAAGTCCGTCGGCAGCATTCCCCTCTCCCCTCTGGCCCGCACCCCATCCCCAACCCCCCAGCCCACCTCCCCGCAGCGCTCACCCTCTCCTTTACTCAGCCATGGGTCCATGGGGATCTCCAAGACCACCCAAGCCTTCCCGGTCAAGATGCACTCGCCCCCCACCATTGTCCGCCACATGGCACGGCCCAAGAGCGCGGAGCCTCCCCGCTCGCCGCTCCTCAAGCGGGTGCAGTCGGAGGAGAAGCTGTCGCCCTCCTACACGGGCGACAAGAAGCACATGTGTTCCAGGAAGCACAACCTGGAGGTGACCCAGGAAGAGGCCCAGGGAGAAGAGTTGAGGCCTGGGGACAGGGACCACCACACCCTGCAGAGTGTGGAGGAGAAGCCCTGCGAGCCTCCGGCCATCACCCGGGTCCGGCCGGCTGAGCAGGGCTGCCTCAAGAGGCCAGTTGGCCGCAAGGTGGGCCGCCAGGAGTCTATGGAGGAGCTGGACAAGGAGAAACTGAAAGCCAAGGTGGTGATGAAAAGACAGGACTGGTCAGAGAGGCGAGTGTCCCTGCAGAAGCAGGACGCACTACAGGAGTCTGATATGTCTGGTGCTGAAGGAGGAAGAAGCCAGGGCAGAAGCCAATGCTCAGAGACAGTCTCACTGGAAGGCAAAGCTGCCAGCACCACGGTAAAAGATGTCCTGTATAAGAAGCTGAACACTCGGGCCTGTGAGGGCAGCCCTGAACAACTAGTGGGCAATAGCTCTGACTCGCCTCTGTGCTCCATCCACCCTGACTGGAGCCCCCAGAAGACTGAGTGGCAGCTGTCCAGGCAGAGCAAGGAGGGTGGTAAGCCAGAAAGGCTGGACTTCAAGGCCCCCAACATGGAGTTTGCCCGGAAGAGGCAGTCGTTCGAGGAGCGGGAAGACTGCATGTGTCGACTCTCTCCCGTCATTCATGAGAGCCTCCATTTTGGCTCCACCCGTTCCAAGAGTCTGCAGCTGGACTCGGCCCTGGCTCTAGACCACGTCAAGGGTACCATGTGTAGCGTCCACTCCAGCCCTGAGGGCCTGAACCCCAAGATATTCCCTGGGAGAGGAGAGGGAAGCGCCGTGGAGAAACTCCAGCTCATCTCCTCCAGTGAAGGCTCCCTCAGGAAGACCTCCTCAGAGTACAAGCTGGAGGGGCGTCTGGTCTCCTCCCTCAAACCCCTAGAGGGCACCCTAGACATTGGCCTGCTCTCCGGGCCAAGGGTGTCTAAAACAGACACCTGCCTCTCTAAGATGTCTGACAGTGATATTGGCTCGATAGGGACGCCAATGTGGCTGCAAAGCCCAGTTGAGCGGCAGGTGTTGATTCCCCTGCTAAAACCCTCTGACAAGCAGAAGAGCCCCCCCACCAGTATACTAAGCCCTGGAGCTGTTGTGGCCCTTAGCAGTCCAGTTCCGGCCAAAGAGGAAGCCAGTATTTCCAACACTGGGCTTAAATGCAGTAGCAGTGGTGAGAAGCCACACGACAGACCTAGTCACCATGAACCCCCAATGGCTCCCTCCAATGCGGAGGTCTCAGACTTTGGTGGGAAACAAGAAAGCAGGTCCAGTATGATAACTCACGATCATAGGGCATTGCGCCACAGCGCCCACTTCTCCCACTGTGGGAAGACGCCCTCCATACGGGAGGTCAGCAACGAAGACCAGGAGGAGGAGGTGGAGCCACCACAAGAGACCCCAGCCCCCACACAGCAAAACAACACCGATATCTCCAAGACATCCGATACGGTTGTCATTGCAAAGACGGAGAGTCCCAAAAATACTGCAGCATCCTTCCCTGCCTCAAATGTGGAGGTTCAAGAAATTGCCCCTCATGCAGCTGTACCAGTGAAGCAAAGTTCAGATTGTCAGTCAGGGCCTGGTTACCTGCAGAGCAATGAGAAACAAAGACCAGCTGAGAATACAAGTAGCATCACTACAGTTGTACAATATAATTTAGAGCCGACTTCATATCTGTCAAAGCAGCAGATGGTATACAGCAGTCCCTCGACAGTGACCACAACACAAACATCCATCCCTGCTCCAATCTCTAGTCTTGGAGATATGAACCGAACAAGTGGTCAAATGTCTATAAGACAGCACTCCACAGCGAAAACCCAAAACTTGGACAAGGTTCAAAGCAACAGGCCAGTACCAAACAAGGCCAGTGAACCTGCCAGTGTGTCTGCTGTTGAGGAGCTCAAAGCTGCAAATGCAGCAAGAGATAAAATGGCCGAAGTCAGAGAGACAAGTCCTAAAGTGTATGTAAAATGTGGCTTATCTAAAGGAATTGTGGACACTGCAACTGCTAAAACTGAAGCAACACAGAGGTGTGATCAAAGTAAAGATGCTTGTCCTATTGGCAGTCGGGTAGCTATTAGTATTGTAGCAAAGCAAATTCGAGAAGGTCCCACTTCACCAAAGACAAAGGGTAGCATTGCAAAGACTGGAGAGCGAGAGAAGCCATATTTAACAAACCGACCTGCTGAAAAGACTTGGGTCAAAGGGGCTCATGAGGCAGAAATCCCAGTCTCTAAAAAGCAAACTGCTGATGTAAATATCAAAGAGACGAGTCCTGTGCGGATAGTGAAACAGTCACCACCAAGTCCTGCTTCAACAAAACAAACAACCTTCAATCCCAAAACTAAGCCAAGATCTGAGGAAGAGAGGGAGAGGTATGAAGTGAAAACTCCTGCCCCAGTCGTCAAAGTAAGCCTGGATTCAAAACAGCAAGAGTCATCTCAGAAAACTACAGTATCAATGGTCAAAGAAATCCCAGACTCAAAGCAGAATGAACCCCTACTCAAAACCTTGTTCCAAAGCCACATCGTCAAAGAAAGTTCAGACTCCAAACATAACAAATCTTTGTCCCTAACTCCTGTCCCAACCCCAGTTGTCAGACACAACTCTGACCCAAAACAGAAAGAACCAGAACCCCACACCTTTGCCCCAACCCCAGCCCAAGTCATCAAAGATAACCTGGACTCAAAACAAAAATCACCCCCTCACAAAACCTCTGCCTCAACCTCAATGAACTCAAAACAAAAGGAAATCACTACTTCAACTGTTGTTAAACAAATCATAGACTCAAAACAGAAATCCCCCCCTCACAAAACCCTTGCCCCAACTGCAACCCCAGTCATGAAAGAGCCAGCGCCGGTCTTTGCTGCACCCCGACAGCAGGCACAGCAAGAGCCTCCGACCCGGGCCAGCGCTCCCTCCCAGTCTGCCCCTGTACCAGTCCTGCTGGCCCCAGCAGTGAGAAGAGAAGCACACCCACCCAACGGTGGAGCTCTCTCAGGCAGGGCCAGCGGCAGCACCGGACAGGAGGCTGTGGTCCAGACCTCCAGGGAGGATCAGGGGAGGCCGAGGGTAGAGGCTCCCAGGTCAGAGGGCCTTAGGTCAGACTCTCATAGGAGCCTGGGTGGGATGGATACCACAGGGCCAACACCCACCTCCACCTCCACCAGCAACAGGACCCCCCAGGCCAAACACAGCACAGCTGAATCCAGGGTCACGAACTCTGATAAACAGGTAGCCTGTAGCCGAAAAGAACAGGCTGACAAGAAGAAAAGGGAATCTGCTCAAGAGGTAGCATCTACACAGAAAAACACCAAGATAGAGACTTCAAGAGTGGCTACCGCGGTGAAAGAGGGTTCAGGTTCAGACAAAGACTCGGCCCAACACAAGCAAACCAAGGAGTCGCCACGCAGCCCCGCTAACAAAGGAGATGCGGAATTTAAAAAATAAGACAGCAGCCACCCTTACATTTGCGGTATGTCTGAGATAAGACAAGGTAGACATTTTTGTTGTTGTTCATAGTGTCATCATACCTTATTTTTTTGAGAACCGGGGAAGCTGTTACTTCAGTGTTTATATGGCGTGAGAGAGGTGTGTTGTCCTGAGTGTGTGTGTGTGTGTATAGTGGTGTAAGCGTATGCTTGGGCAATACTGTAAATGTCTAATGTTCTTGGACTGAATGTAGACAATGATTTGCTGCTCATTTATGGTTCTCTGCTGTGTGAAAAAAAAGGTGTCAAATTTGTATCCTATGATTGTTTGGAGCTTTTATTTTTTAATTGACAGCAGAGTGCAATGTGAAATCAAAATGTAGTGGGCAGTATGGAGTAGCCTTTTCCAAGGTTTTGAATTGCACTCTGGGTTTAGAGTTCTGGGTTAAGAGCACCTGAAATTGAAGGTAGCAGACTTTCAATGCGTGTAGACGGAAGTATTTCCATTTCACTCCCACTCAAAGAGCTGTGTTAGGTGAAAACACGGTAGTCATGGCACATCATCCGGTTAACCATTTAAGAGGTGTGACAGTGATGCAGATCATTCACCAAAAGTTTGTTTAGATACTTTATCTTATGTCACTTTTTTTAATTTTTTTATTATTACCTAGAGGTGAAGTGTGTTTTTTTGTTTTGGGTAGCGGTGCACAGAAGGAATGCACTATGTCCTGTGCTTCTCACCTAGAACTATTTAATATGGAATCATCTTACGGTTCTGGAATCATATTTAGTGGAAGGGGCCTTAGGGTTAAGGGGGAATTTTAAAAAACTTGCTGTTCTTAGCAGGTTATGGTGTAATTCACATTCCTTTCACATCTCTACATTTCTAAACCTTTGATTTTTATGCAATTGTGTAAATAATTATGACAAAACTAACTAAAAATTGGGATACATGGGCTTAAGTAAATATAAGTGTTTGTTTTGTATGTATATATTTTCCAATGTCATGTTTGTATACGCAATGATATGTCATTTCAGAATCATGTCCTGCTTGATAATTCTGTGGTCTAGAATAAGCTAATGTAATGTCTATCTATACCTATCCAAAATACATCCTCTCTCTAACAGTCGTTTTAACACATTCTGATATGTTCAGAATTTTACTTGAGGAGAAATAAAGCATACAATGGGCAATTGTGCTTTTCCTCAAAAATGTAGTGTTGAAGATTTAAACAAAAGATAACTGTGAGAGGGGCAAGTGGTTCCCAAGAATGCATTCAATCGTGATTTTGTTGTAAAGATGTATGAAGAATTGTAATGACCGTGTAAAATTGAGATACTTCACTGAGCCCAGGAGAAAATATTTATGTTATTATGACGATGTGTAGAATGCAAGCTCCAAGGAGTTGGAATAAACCAACAATTCTGAGTACGTTTGCCACACTATGGAAGAGATTTCTCGAAGTCTGTTTTTAAGGAGTCGTCTGCATCGATTGGGTGTTTTCCTATTCTGTTTATATTTGTACGGACAGACATTCATACAATGTGAAATGTATTTTCGGGTATGGTAAATTAAAAAGGGCTTAAATTCAAGTAAATGTCAAGCAAATTTATTGAGAATGTCTGGTTTGCAAGAGATTAGATTTCAGTTACAGTTCTGAAGTCGTGTTCTAGCCTTGTATTGTTTTTCTCATTTTCATTCAACTCCAGACTTTTCTTTTTCCGTACGTGATGCAGTAGCCTACATTTATGTACCAGATCGTCCGGATGAGAACTGTGCCCAGTTAAATGTCTAGCTAACAATAGGCTTGAAAGGACAGATTTTGTAAGAACAAAATGCACCAATATACTAATCTTAGTTCATATACATAAATGTCATTATTCTAGACAGTTGTTGTTTAGATGATTCTAGCTTTGTGTATCAGAAAAAAGTTGACTTCTTTTACACTGACCTAGGGATGTCCTGTAGGTTAGCTGCCAGGCCTTTTGACTGCATACCCTAAATATCAAACACAAAGTAGATTTCTAATTATGTGATACAATATTTACTCTATAATGTAGGCTATGTCATAACAATAAACAATCTACTGTATCTTAGAGAGGCAAACAAAAAAACATTATGTAAACTGGATACAATATATTTACATAAATGGCATACTGTACCCAAGAAGGCACACTGTGGACAAATACAAATCAGGTTGATTGTAGAGATTTTTTTAAATAATGTGTTATCATAGTCCCGTGTAGCTCAGTTGGTAGAGCATGGCGTTTGCAACGCCAGGGTTGTGGGTTCGTTTCCCACGGGGGACCAGTATGGAAAAAAAAAAAAAAAAAACATGTATGCACTCACTTAACTGTAAGTCGCTCTGAATAAGAGCGTCTGCTAAATGACTAAAATGTTATCAGAATCTGAAGTTTTACTATTCTCATTAGTTATTGTAAATGTATTGTCAAACATTTGGGGAGAAAAAAATACACCTTTAATATTAAACACCTTTCCCCTGCTAGTTGTAGTAGTTTGGGGAGAGTAGGAGAAGAATGATTGAGATGAAAATGTCTTATGGGGCTATCTTGTCCGCTATCAAACAGGCTCTGGATATAGACAGAAATGAATCGAAAAACACTTCCTTTGAATGACGGAGCGTATATTTGTCTCCATGCCTTTTGTTTCTGACGATTGACATTTAAATCCTTTAAAAAAAGCACATTCAATGTTTGTTTACAAATACTTCATGGATGTATATTGTGTAATTGATTTGCCAAATCTGTGTACTACATCACAGGAAATATGTTTGTGATAGTGTTTGTGATTTCCTCACCTACCCAGCCACCCAGTTGTACTGTTAGACTGTCTCTGTTTCAACATCCGTCGGGTCCCACATGGTCCTGCTTGTTTTTTGTTTCCTTTTTTCCTCTGTGTGAAACTAGTATTAGATGAACTTGCTTACTATTGTTTGTCATTTAGGATCTGTGCAATAAAAATGTTTGAGTTTTGGTATTTCGCCCAAGGAAAGCTCTATGGATGTCATAGATGTTGTATATTAAAACAGATATTTATACTTCTAAAGTTGCATAACACTGAGAATAAAAAGCATGATAAAACAGTTTCTTTTTATTGATTTAATGAAATGATAATGACAAATCTGAATATGCATGATTTCTTATTGTGATGTAGCGATTATGAAGAGCTACACTAAAAAGGCATATGCCTGGCCTTGTATTTAACCTTGGAAAGTTCAGCTGTTAGGCATGTGATAGAACTACCCTGATTGTGTTAGTCAGTGAACTAAACTTCGTTCTGTCCCACTTACTTGGGTTGTCCCCTTAAGATCGTCTATAAATGCTAAAACTATAATCTGCAACTGTTTGCAACCGCTTTCTTTGGGGTTAAGTTTAGTGTTGGGCTAGGGTTATTGGAAAGTTAGCTGAACTGTTACCATCTGCAGGGGACTATATCCAAATAACGTGTTACCCTTCAAAGCTGTTCGTATCCTCTGTATTGCTTCCTTCGTTTTTTAATGATGACAAATGCAATTCTTAAAATTGTCATTGACATAACGACAAGCCCAAATGCTAACATGCCTGTGGAAAAAACACAATTAAAATACACATCTGATAACCTTTCCTTTGAACCAACACATGTTGTCCTATCAATGTTCATCACTTTATTGGCATTGCTCTGAATCCAACCAATTAATTGAATGTTGGAACAGTTGCATGTCAAAGGGTTGCCACTCAGGTCAATTTTGCTATTTTCTGTTAAAGCTTTGACAGAGTCAACGTCAACCATTTCTATCTGATTTATGGCTAAATTTAGCAGGACATTCGTACTGGCTACACCTAGTTTATTACCACTAAGATCTGCATACGCCAGGTTGGTGAGGTAGCGAAATGCGTTATTCTTAACAGATATGTCACACACTGCCAAAACCAGGCTCAGTAGAAGAGGAACCTGTATAAACATCTAACCATTAGAAACAACCCCGTCCTTAAAGGAACTGCCCCTCAAATTGAGATGCTCCAGGCTTTTCAGACCTTCCAGAAGGTTCCACTGGACACTGAAGTCACCAAACTTCCACGAGATATTTAGCATTCGGAGCTGACCTAAGTTACGGAGAGGACCACCTGCTGCGGTGTGGGCAACGCGGGTAACTTTCAAATTACTGCAGTCCAATTCTATCAACCCTGAGGTCTCGTTGAATGGCATGTCCCCCCACTTCATGGAGGTTGCTGGGACGTTGTAGCTGAGGTTGAGCTTATGGAGCTGACCCAGACCTGCTAGCTGGACTTCGCAGCACTGAGCTCCGTCTGTCAGCAACCTGCTGTGACTCCAGTCAAGCAGCTCCAGCTTGATGGCATTCCTCAGGCAGCTCTCTTTAAAGTCCATCCCGAAGGTCAGCTGTTGGGCCTGGTTGCCCCTCACAGACAGGACAGTTAGCTGGGGAAGAGAGGCGGCGTTGGTCTGACACAGGTCCTTGAAGCTGATCTGGTTCAGGATGAGGTGGGTAAGAGATGTCATCTTGTGATGGAGGCCGGCAGGGAGTGGAGATGAGACAACTTCTGAAGGCCCTTCAGGCACTCGAACGGGGCGTCATCGGTCAGATCTGGGAAGTACTGTAGTTGGAGGCTCAGTTTGTTCACGGTGATGTTACAGAAAGCGTGAAGGGACTCAGCCCGCATGGTGGCAGATGGGCTGTCCTCGTAGACCCCCAGGGAGAGAATGTTGGTCTGAACTCTGTCCGGCTAAGATTACTGAAATGTCCCCTTCGCTGAGGCAGTCACTGAAATCTAGGCTGTTGAAGTGACAGGATTCGAAGGAGTTTGGTTTAATGTACACAATGCTGTTGCCTTTGAAGCTGACGTTGAGAAGGCTGGCTTTCTTCAGTACAGCCACCTCTGCAGCTGAGATATTCTGGAGGGAATTCATTGGAAGATTGATTGTCATTTTTTGCCAGTTGAACTGGTTTAGATCATGTAAGGAGTCAATGTCATTGTCACCAAGGTCCAGTGTTTCTA